CCAAGTCCATCAGAAGAGGGACCCATGGCCCTAGCCGGTGTGGCTCAGTGGATAGAGCGTCGGCACATAGAACCAAAGAGTCCTGGGTTCGAATCTCATAAAGGGCACATATTTGGGTTGCAGGGTCTTGGTCGGGCGTGTGCAGGAGGCAACCAGTTGATATGCTTCTCTCACATCGATGTTTCTCTCCATTTTCCCCTCTCTCTTCCCCTCTCTAAAATCAATGGGAAACACCCTCTGGGGAGGATGACGAAGAAGGAGGAGGAGGAGGAAGAGGAGGAGGAGAAGGAGGAGGGGGAGGAGGAGGAGGGGGAGGAGAAGGAGAGGACTGATGGGCTCTGAGATGAATTGCTCTAAGCTGCAGGCATCACTGTGGTCATAGCTGAGTCACTTTCCTGGGTGACTCTCCTCCTCCCCCTCCTCCTCGTCCTCCCCCTCCCCCTTCTCCTCCTCCTCTTCCTCCTCCTTCTGGTCTGTTGAAACCCAAGTCCCTTGCACCCCCACCTGCCAGGGAGCTGCCTGGGTGCCCTGGGACCCGGTGAACGGTGAGCGGAAGCTGCCTCCCACCCAGAGGAGCACGTGCTTCCTGCCCCCCCCCCAGAACCGGTCCCCGGGGGGGGGGGGGGGTGGCCATCTCCGTGAATGTGGCTGCAGCAGGGCCTCCACCCGCCCGGTTCTGGGGTGTTTGTTTCTCCCCCTGATCTCTTCTTTCTGTCCCTGTTTTAGCTGAGCCGTCTGCACGTGTTCGATGTTATAAGTCCGTCCTTGGATGTGGGTGGGGCATCCTCTATGAATAAATACTAACCTGAGGCACCCTCCCTACACCCCACCACCCCAACGTGGACTGAGATCGACGCTCCACCCACTGAACCACCCGGCCAGGGCGCCAGGCCTATGATGAGCCGCCTCTGGAGGCTCCCCTGGTGAACGCACAGGCCCCCATTACGGCTCCGCTCCCCGGCTTTCATTTTGCACTTGCACGCACACTCCGTGTGCAGCGCTGCGAGCAGGCTGTCCTTTGTTCGCGGGCGGTGCGGTGCGGTGCGTTCCTATGCTGCCCGGAACAGACCAGCAGACGGGCGGCTGGGCTGCTGTACACACCGGAGGGGCCACGGGCTTTGTTTCCGCTTACCGGACCCATCCTCCCCCAAGCCAATCGTAAAGCTCCACACGCCGTGACAGCTGAGGCCTCCACACAGCAGGTGCCTCACCGGCAGCCACAGTCCCCTTGGGCCCAGCGGCCTCTGGTCAGACGATGACCCACCCGGTCCCACCCCGCGCTGGCTGACAGCGGCCTGCATCCCCTGTCTGTGTGTGTGACAAGCGCACACGCCGTGCGTCTCCGCTCAGGGACCAGACAGACGGCTGGGTGGGCGCAATAATAGCCCCCCCCCATCCCGGGGTTTAAAGGCTGCGGGACCATGGCTGTGGGGCCCGGGGTGCAGGGAGCGAAGGGAGGCAGGAACCGGGGCGTCCGTCTCCTGCCAGGCCCGCCTGTCCTCTCACAGACTCAGCAACAGGCCGCACCCCAAGCGGGCACACCAGGCGGCACCCAGGCGGCACCCCAGGCCAGCTAGAGCCTCCGGAACCATCTCCTTAGTTACAGGCCGGATGCAGCTTAGCCATCACCGTTCCCGCTGAGAGCGCCTGGGGTTGGCAGCTAAGGCCTGCATCCACATCAGCACAGAGTGAGGGGTGCAGAGAGGGGGGTGCAGAATGAGGGGTGCAGGGAGGGGGGTGCAGAGAGGGAAGTGCAGAGTGAGGGGTGCAGAGAGGGGGGTGCAGAGAGGGGGGTGCAGAGAGGGGGGTGCTGAGTGAGGGGTGCAGAGTGAGGGGTGCAGAGAGGGGGGTGCAGAGAGGGGGGTGCAGAGAGGGGGGTGCAGAGTGAGGGGTGCATAGTGAGGGGTGCAGAGAGGGGGGTGCAGAGTGAGGGGTGCAGAGAGGGGGGTGCTGAGTGAGGGGTGCAGAGAGGGGGGTGCAGAATGAGGGGTGCAGGGAGGGGGGTGCAGAGAGGGAAGTGCAAAGTGAGGGGTGCAGAGAGGGGGGTGCAGAGAGGGGGGTGCTGAGTGAGGGGTGCAGAGTGAGGGGTGCAGAGAGGGGGGTGCTGAGTGAGGGGTGCAGGAAGGGGGGTGCAGAGTGAGGGGTGCAGGGAGGGGGTGCAGAGAGGGGTGTGCTGAATGAGAAGTGCAGAGTGAGGGGTGCAGAGTGAGGGATGCAGAGAGGGGGATGCTGAGTGAGGGGTGCAGAGAGGGGGGTGCAGAGTGAGGGGTGCAGGGAGGGGGGTGCAGAGAGGGGGGTGCAGAGTGAGGGGTGCAGAGAGGGGGGTGCAGAGTGAGGGGTGCAGAGTGAGGGGTGCAGAGAGGGGGGTGCTAAGTGAGGGGTGCAGAGTGAGGTGCGGGCAGGAGTTTCAGGCCTCTCCAGGAACACATTCCCAACCTCCCTGGAAGCTGGGGGAGGGTTAGCAGGAGGGCCTGGAAGCCCAGATGAGGAGGGGCTCATAGGAGAGAGGCCATCCGGGCACCCCAGCTCCTGCCCCTAAGAGGCCCCCCAGCTCCTGCCCCTAAGAGGCCCCCCACTCCCCACACCGCTGGGGGCCTCCCCCGCCTCTCCCCCCGCCTGGACGCCGGTGGCTCCTGTCTCTGAGCCCAGACCCCGAGGGAGACCCCACGCCGCCCCTCTCCCATGTGAGCGGGTCTCTCTGCCCACTCCCCGCTCCTGCGCGGAGAGCTGAACCCCCGCCGCCCCCGCCGACCAGCCGCCCCGCGCTGCCTACCTGGTGCCGGCGGGGCCCCCAGCATCGGACTGAGCCGCCCGGCCCCGCGCCGCGTCCCTCCTTCCCGGGCACCGGGCGCGCTTCGGGCGGGAGCAGGCGCGGCGGCCGTCGAGGCGGTTATATGGGGGCCGCGGGCGGGGGCGCCTTCGGGAGCCGGGGCGGGAGGAGCGCGGGGCGGCGGGACGGCCGGGCCTGGCAGTGCCGCGCGCTCCGCCCCCCCAGCTGGCCCGGCCGAGCCGGGACCCGGTGCGCCCCGCCCCGCCTCTTCCCGCCGCCTTCCCGCCGCCTTCCCGCCGCTGCTGGCGCGTGTCACCCCCGCGGAGCCGGGCCCAGGCTGTTGGAGGGCCGGGAGCGGGTCCGCCTGCGGGGAGACTCCGGCGGCTGGGGGCGCGGGCGGGGACGCGGGAGCCAGGAGGGGAGCGGGGATGCCGACTCCGCGTCCCGCTGCCTCCCTCCCCGGACAAGGTCTCCCCAGCCCCCGGCCTCTCCTCTCCACCCTGGCCTCTCCCCGGCGCCCGGCCTCCCCTCTCTACTCTGGCCTCTCCCCGGCCCAGCCTCCCCTCTCCACCCTGCAGCGCTGGCTCCTCCGTGCTCGGGCGCCTGGAACCCGCCGCCAGCGAAGCGCCTGTCGGAGGGGCCGCCACCCTGTCCCCGGAGTGTCCTCCTGGCTGTGTCCGCCCGGCACGTGGTGCGGGGCGGGGGACCGGGTGCAGCCGCTCTCCTCTGGTGGCTCCAGCGGGGTCCTCGGCCAAGGAGGGGAGTCCCCCCCAAAAAAAAAACACCGCCCAACGAACCGAGGTCATGGCCCGCGCCCTCGGGGGAAGGTGTGGTCCAGAACCTGCGGGGAACTGGAGACACAAACGCTCGGCTCCCTCCCGGCCACAGCCTCCGCCGGGGCGCCGTGTCCTGCGGCGCTGGCACAGGGGCGTCCGCGTGTCCACGGCAACGCGCGCGTCGGGCGCCGGGATCTGCTTTGCGCTCAGGGCGCCGGGGCCAAGGCTGCCCCGGGCCGCGGCCGCACGTGGGCGCGTTAGGAGCGGCCACGGCGGCCCGCACCTGCCGTGCGCTGCCCGCTGGGCTCGGGCGCCCGGTCCCGCTCTCCGCGCCGAGGCTGCGCGGACCCTCGCGCCAGTGTCGCCCGTGGAGCCGCTCGCCAGCCGGCTCCCAGGCCGGGTTCCCGCCGCGCGGGTCTGCGCCTCGCTCACCGGCTGCTGGCGCGGCGGCGGGCACACGAGGACTTGCCCAGGGTGACGGTGCACGCACCCCCTACCGCTCCTTTGGGGAGTTGGGGGGTGTGGGGGGCGCCCGCAGGGAGCAGGGGCGCGGAGGGACCGGGAGGACGCGGCGGTCTCGGCTATCAGAACCAGGTCAGGCCGGGGTCTGGGCGCGGATCTGGCGGGAGGGCGCTGAGGTTCCTGCGGGCCTCACTGAGGTCCGGGCGGGGGAGCTGGGGAGAAGGGTCCAAAGGGGCACGAGGACACGGCCCCCGCGCGCAGGGTGGGCAGCAAAGACCGAGCAGCCGGCGCCCACGCGGGTGCGCGCTCCGTGGTGCGGAGGCCGGGCGCGGGCCCCTCGCTCTCCTCGCGGAGAGGGCGTCACATTCGTTCACCCCGGACCCGAGGGCACCGGAGCGCGAGTGGGGGGCTCGCTGCGAGGGGGAGGCTCGCTGCAGGCGGGGAGCCCGATTTAGCAAAAAACAGCAAAACTAAGAAAAACGAAACTGCATGCACCATGTACAAAACATATGCACAGACACTATTATATATTGGCATACAATACATGTGGGAATATAAGTGTATTTACGCCTAAACGGATTTACGTGTAAGAATAAAAACAGATGTAAATCTAAATACTCAGAACATAGGACGCCCCGTGACATGTAGACTTCAGATAAGCGGGTAATGTTTCGGTATATGTCCCCTGCAGTATCTGGGAACATATTTTACTGAGAACGACTTTTTCTGGAATTCAAATGTGTCCTGCGTTTGATTCGGCAGCCCTGGCTGGAGGGAGGCACCTCGCAAATCCCGCTTCGCGAGAAGGGGGGGGGGGGGGGAGGAGGCGCCGGGAGAGCGAACTACAAGCCCCACAATGCTCCGCGAGTGCCCGGGCCCCGATAGGCTGTGGCGCGCTTCCCGCTCTCCGTCACTTCCGGGCGCGGGCGGGCGGTTGCGGCGGACTCCCAGGGCTGTGCAGCGCGGGCTCCGGCGCGGCGGGCGGCTTCACCATGTACTTCTCCGAGGTGTTCAAGCTCTCCAGCCAGCTCTGCAAGTTCTCCCCGGACGGCAAGTACCTGGTGAGCGGCCGCGGGCCTGGGCCGAGGTCGGGCCCTCCGGGGGGACCCGCATAGGGGAGCGGAGGCGGCCGCGGGGCCCGGCGTGGAGGCAGCTGGGGGGCGGCAGGGCGGGATGCGGGTCCGGGGACCCGGGCAGGTGAGCTGGGCGCAGGGCCGGGGCAGGTGCCGCAGACAGGTAACCTGGCATTGGCTCTGGGCCGGGGACCCGGACAGGTGCCCTGGGCGCAGGACCGGGGCAGGTGCCCGCCTCCCGCACCCGGGAGCCCACCTGCCCCGGCAGAGCAGCCTTGCTTCCTTTGCACACGGCGGACGCGGCAGACAGCGGCTAGTGGTGGTTTTGCCACAGAAAAGCAGACACAGTTCTGCCTTCTGCAAGGGGACAGCCTTCCCAGCCCCCTTTGTGGTCTCACCATCTGCCCAGTCAATGGTGCCACCAACTAGCATTGGTGTCCAGGCGACAGAGCTGTCTGCACTGCCGGGCGGGAGCCGTTCATTCCCGGGGTGCAGAGGGGTGCCCGGGCCCCTGAGCTTCCCGTGCACGAAGCTTAGGGCCGGGCTGAGCAGCCCCGGGGGACAGATCCCTCGGACACAGTGTGCCTGTGGGGAGAGGGCGAGGGGCCGCGGCCGGAGCGGCCTCCGTTGCCCGCTTCCTGAGGCCTCCGTCGGGATTTCTGTCTTTAGATGCCATCAGCAGGGTGAGCAGTGCTGGGGGGACACGCTGTTTACACTGTCCTCTAGGCAAGTGCAGCCCGGGGTTAAGCATAAGGATTCCAACAACACCCGGGGTCGGCACGGGCTCAGACTTGTTTGGAAAGTCAAGGAAGAATCGGGCGCCGCCTTCGACGCCCCCTAAGTCGCCCCTAAGTGGGGATTCGGACAAACAGGGCAGGTGTCTTCCACACTCCCTTTCACCAGAACGTCCTCCTCACAGCTGCCCGGCAGCTCAGGTTTTCAAAGGTGCCAGGAGGCCAGTGTGTGACCTCAGAATTGGGGGAGAGGCAGGTGTTTCGGGTGGGGGTTGGGAGGTAGTTGTCATTGGAAAGCCTTTAAGAGAAAGAGTCGTGCCCTAACCGGTGTGGCTCAGTGCATAGAGTGTTGGCCGGTGGACTGAAGGGTCCGGGGTTTGATTCCGGTCAGGGGCATGTACCTTGGTTGCGGGCACATCCCCAATGGGGAGTATATGTTTCTAACTCTCCCTCTCCCTTCCTCTCTGTAAAAAATCAATAAAACATCTTTAAAAAAAAAAAAATCCTCTGTCTTAAATACTGGAGAAGGTGAGGTCCATGTTGCCATATTTAATATCTTGCAACAGAATTGATACTATTTTTCCAAGATTTGGTACAAATGCTCCACCTCCTGGGGGAGTCATTGTAGGACACAATATCCAAAGCTGCGGGTGGAAGGGGGACCCTGTGGCACATTCTGTTCTAATCAGCGACAGCCCTCCTCCTCCCTTTCCCTCCTCCTCTCTTTCCTACGGAAAACTCTGTGGCATTTTTTCCCTAACGGGTGCTCATAAAACACAGATCAGTTATCTGATTTGACCTTGATAAGTGCAAAAATGAATTACCTAGCCGAAACCGGTTTGGCTCAGTGGATAGATCATCGGCCTGCAGACTGAGGGGTCCCGGGTTCGATTCTGGTCAAGGGCATGTACCTTGGTTGCGGGCATGTCTCCAGTGAGGGGTGTGCAGGAGGCAGCTGATCGATGACTCACTCTCTCATCGATGTTTCTGACTATCTCTCTCCCTTCCTCTCTGTAAAAAATAAAAAATCAGTAAAAATATATATTTTAGAAAAACTGAAGTAACTAACTGTTAGAAACGGGTTCCTGGCCTTCACACTGCATGCAGTCTGCAGTCAGCTCCGTGTGCTCTAAGGAGTTACTTGCTTGGCTGTGGCTGCTTGCTGACCCGGACACGGAGCCTGTCAGGAAGCAGCATGGACACGCGCATTTCATAGGCAGTGCCCGGAGTGAGTGCCCTCCTTACGGTCACCTCGACAGCCTACATCGCGTCATTTCTGGTCCCCAGACGTGTGGCCTTTCCCCGCCAAGCAGTTCTGTGACGCCAGCCGGCCGGCCTGCCAGGACCTCAGTCTGCCCCGTCTCCTTGGAGGCAGATCCCAAGGTGCAGGGCTCAGTCCCAGGAGACTGCTCCTCAGCCGCGGGCCTGGGCGGCAGGAGCCCCACAGCTTCTGTCTGACTGCGCAGGGGGGCTTCCCACACCCCTTCCTCGGGTTCGATGCATTCGCTGCCGCACGCACAGGACTGGGGGCACACTGACTTCCTTTCCAGCTTCTGAAGGCTGTGGTGGGGACGGTGCCAGCCTGCCGAGGAGGGCATAGGGCGAGGCGGGGAGGGCCCGGTGCAGGAGTCTGTCCCTGTGGGCCGGGGTGCCACCCTCCCCACGTGATGTGTGTCCCCCGGAAGCTCTCCCGGAGGTCTGGTCTGCCGTTTACTCCATTTGCAGCCCTTCTCCCTCCCAAGGGGATGGGGTGTGGGGCTGAAATTCCAAACTCCTGACGGCCTGGTCTCTGTGACCAGCCTCATGCAGGGCCCTCCAGGAGGCCCCTCCCCCGAGGCCCCTGTCACCCAGGAAGTTACAAGGGTCCCAGGAGCATGTGCCCGGGACCTGGGGCAGACGGGTATAGTGCCTCTGGCTCGCGGCATTTGCAGAACACTGAGCACTTAGGAAGCGCCCTGAGGTTTGTGGAAACTAGAACACGCACATTGACTTTCTGCTGGTGCGGCTCAGACTGAAGCTCAGGGCAGAGGGAGCTGGCATTTCTGTGGTCACTGCCACCCGCAGCCGTGAGCCCCAGGCCCTACAGATGGTCTGCAGGTGACCGGCAGGTGAGGTGCAGCTCACGCAGAGCCTTCTCTGGTGCGTTTCCTCCTCACGTGTAGTTCTGTGGTGCTGATAAGGAAGGAGCAGGCAAGCCCCAGCCGGTGTGGCTCAGTGGATAGAGCACCAGCCTATGGACTGAACGGTCCTAGGTTCGATTCCGATCAGGGCACGTGCCTGGGTGTGGGCTGGGTCCCCACGTGGAGCGTGCAGGAGGCAGCTGTTCAGTGATTCTCTGTCATCATTGATGTTTCTTTTTTTTTTTTTTTTTTTTTTTTTTCCTTAATTTTTATTGTTCATATTATTACAAATGTCCCTTCCCCCCCCTTCCCACCCCACCCTCTGCTCTTTCCCCTCCCCCCATTGTCCTCATCCATAGGTGCACAGTTTATGTTCAGTCTCTTCCCACATCCCCCTCTCCCCTTTTCCCCAAGAATCATCAGTTCACTCCCCTTCCATACCTCTGATTCTATTATATTCAACAGTTAATATTGTTCATTAGATTTTTTTTTAATTTCCTTGGTTTTTAGATTCACTTGTTGACAGTTACGAATTTGTTGTTCATAATTTTTATCTTTATTTACTTTCTCTTCTGAAAGAACCCCCTTCAGCAATTCATATAATTCTGGTTTGGTGTTGATGAACTCCTTTAGCTTTTTTTTATTAGTGAAGCTCTTTATCTGACCTTCGAATCTGAGTGATAGCTTTGCTGGATAGATTATCTTTGGCTGTAGGTTCTTACTATTCATCACCTTGAATATTTCTTGCCATTCCCTTCTGGCCTGCATGGTTTCTGTTGAGAAGTCAGCTGACAATCGTATAGGTGCTCCTTTATAGGTAACTACCTGCTTAGCTCTTGCTGCTTTTAATATTTTCTCTTTGTCTTTTGCTCTTGGAATCTTAATTATGATTTGTCTTGGTGTGGTCCTCTTTGGATTCCTTTTATTTGGAGTTCTGTGTGCTTCCTGGACTTGTAAGTCTAATTCTTTCCCCAGGTGGGGGAAGTTTTCTGTCACTATTTCTTTCAATATGTTTTCGATATCTTGCTCTCTCTCATCTTCTGGGACCCCCATAATTCTGATGTTGGATCGTTTGAAGTTGTCCCAGAGGTTTCTTACATCATCTTCAATTTTCTGGATTCTCTTGCCTTCTAGCTTCTGCAGAGGAGTATCTTCTGGCTCTTTATGTTTCAAATCTTTGACTTGATTCTCAATTTTCTGGATTCTCTTGCCTTCTAGCTTCTGCAGAGGAGTATCTTCTGGCTCTTTATGTTCCAAATCTTTGACTTGATTCTTGCGATCTTCTATTCTGTTTTTAGGACTCTGTATAATAGTTTTTATTTCAGACAATGTATTCTTTATTTCTTGTTGATCCCTTTTCATATCCTCATAAGTCTCATTTATTTTATCAGCCTTTTCTAGGAAACTCTTGAAAAACCTTATAAGTGTGGTTTTGAACTCTATATCCAGTCGCTTTTTGTCCTCCATTTCTTTCGTTTGTGATCTATTTGGTTTAGGCATTTTCGCAGGCAGCTTTCCTGATGGGGCGGGGTTTCAGGGTGGAGCCTACAGCTTTGGCTTCCGTCAGCCCCGCCCTATGCGACTCCTGAGACTCAGGGTCCTTCAGTACTTGTTGTAAGCGCCTCTGAGAGAAAGGCGCCCTCGATTTTCGCCTGCTGCCAAACAGTCAATGCTCTCCCCCACTGAGCCCGGAACTGGGGTTCAGTTCAGTTGGAAGTGGAGTTGGAGGTGGCGTTCAGAGCAGTCTGGAGCCCCTGTCTCCTTCCCGCCAGGCAATCCCGCAGCACAGCCGGCAGTCTCTGCGCGGTGCCGCCAGGACCTCCTTTCGCGGCTTCCCCGGGTTCCGCCTTTCAGCCCGGCTCCCTCTGTGTGAGCCTGGGTCCCGGGGTCTGGCCTAGGCCTGGGGTTCAGAGCAGTCAGAATGGGGCCCAGCACAGTCGGAGTTTTATCTCCTTCCCGCCAGGGAACGCCCTCCAGGCACTCCGCCGCCCTCCTCTCCTGCTCCGTCCTCTCCGTGCGCCGCGTGTCTCCGTACCTTAGGCTTTTCCAGCTCCTCCGCGCTTCCTTCTGGTTATCGCCTTGCTTCTTGTTGTAGAATTTCCAGTCAGTCGACTTTCCTGTAGTTCTGGGTGATGTCTATTTTATATTTTAGTTGTATTTTATTAAAATTGTTGCGTGCGGCTGCGGCTGCCTACCCGAGCAGCCATCTTGGATTCTCTCCTCCATCATTGATGTTTCTATCTCCCCCTCCCTTCCTCTCTGAAACCAATAAAAAATATGTATATTATGAAAAAATAGGAAAGGAGCAGATAATTACTTCAGTAGAGAGTGTTAAAATGTTACTTTATGCTGAAATATAACCCTTTTAACATCTGGTTTGTGTATTTCAACTCATCTTTTCATTGACTCAGTTTCAGAATGGGCCGTGTACTTGGGGGTAAGCATGGAACCGTCTAGATAGAAAGCGTGTCAGAGAGGAGAGAGGCGCAGGGTTCCCCACGCGGGCGGGCCCTGTGCGGACCCGGAGCGCGGGTGACACCCCCTCTCCTGCCAGGCCTCCTGCGCGCAGTACCGCCTGGTGGTGCGCGAGGTGCGCAGCCTGCAGATCCTCCAGCTGTTCACCTGCCTGGACCAGGTGCAGCACCTCGAGTGGTCGGCCGACTCCCTCTTCATCCTGTGCGCCATGTACAAGCGGGGGCTGGTGCAGGTAGGCGGCGGCGCTGCCCTGCGACCCCCTCCCCCCACCACTCCACCCCTCCGCCCTTCCAGCCTGAGAGAAAGGCCTCGGAGCCGCTCCCTGCGAATCTCTGAGCTCAGGTCCTTCCGAAATGGAAACACTGAGTGCTCTTTTCTTGAAGATTCACCTTTGTTGTTGGGAGGATTGCAGATGTCCCCTTTGTTGGCTGTTTTTCCCATTGGCCTCGCCGCCCGCCCCACCCTCCCTCAGGGAAATACTCCCCCCGGACCTGGGACCTGGGACTGGGGGAGGGGCCGGGCCAGCCGCCGGAGTGGGCTTGGGAAGCACTGAGACAGTTGGGAGCTCAGCCAGGGAGGCGTCCACCAGCCACCTCCCCCGAAGGGTGGGGATTGGGGTGCCCCGGCCGCCCAGCGTGGAGAGAGGGTGGGACAGCGTCCCGTGTCTTGACTCCGCAGTGGCTTTAGGCTCAGTGCCGCCTGGTGGGTTTGCGACTGCGTGTCTCCTGGACCAGGTGTGGTCGCTGGAGCAGCCCGAGTGGCACTGCCGGATCGACGAGGGCTCCGCGGGGCTGGTGGCCTCCTGCTGGAGCCCCGACGGGCGCCACATCCTCAACACCACCGAGTTCCACGTGAGTGACCCCCTTCCCGCCTCTCCAACCCTTCCCGGCCCCGCAGCCCCACAGCCCCCGAGGCCCCGGCAGCCCCCGCACAGCCCCACAGCCCCTGAGGCCCCCGCAGCCCCGAGGCCCCCGCGGCCCCCGAGGCCCCCGCAGCCCCGCGGCCCCCGCGGCCCCGCGGCGCGCCTCCTGCCGGGCCCTGAGCCCTGGGCGCTGGGTGAGCTGGGCCTTCGGGTGTGTTTATTCAGTCGTCAGAGCACGGCCAGCCCCTAGGGCTGTGGTTGTCCACCTCCCTGGTGCCGCGCGGCCCTTTCCTACAGCCCCTCATGCGGTGGCGACTCCCAACCAGAACATTGTTTCTGTCGCTACTTCCTAACTGTGACTTGGCTACTGTTACGAACGGCAATGTAAATATCCGTGTTTTCCGACGGTCCTTGGCTCCACAGCAGCAGTTCTCACCCTGTGGGTCTCGACAGGGTCACCTAAGACCGTCGGAAAACACGGATATTTACAATTCGATTCATTAACAGTACCAAAATTACAGTTAGGAAGTAGCAATAAGATAATTTTATCTCCAGTTAAAAAACAACTTTATAGCCAGTTACAGCCGCATCGCCCAGACGGGCGGGGGGCGGGCTCGGCACTGCACGCTGACACGTGAGAGGCGCTGCTCCCCTGGGCTCAGAGGCTCGTTCTGTAACGTGACGTGTCTCCCCCCCATCCTCCCTCCCCACAGCTGCGGATCACGGTCTGGTCCCTGTGCACCAAGTCCGTCTCGTACATCAAGTACCCGAAGGCCTGCCAGCAGGGTGAGTGGCAGAGTGCGGGGCCCGGCTCTCTGTCGCGGGAAATGTCCACCTCGGGCTGAAGGCCGCCTGGTCGGTGTGTCCGCCCCCAGTTGCTCTGTCTCCTGGGCCCACCGGCGATCACGCTGTCTCCCCGCAGGTGGCTCTGAAGCCTGTCCCCCCCGAGTGTCCGTCTGTGAATAATGTTTCCCGGCCTCCAAAGAGAGGCCCCTTCCAACGCCCCAGGGCGAGGAGCCTGTGAGGGCAGCAGGCGAGGCGGTCCGTGGCCTCCCTCCCCGTCTCAGGGGGAGGGCCCACTTCACACTGCGGGCTCTGACCCTGAACCTCCGTCTCCTGCTGACTCTGTGGTCTCTGTCCAGGGGCATGTGACCTGCCCCAGCTGGACATCCCAGAGGAGGGCTGAGTGGCGGGTGGCCACCGGCCATCGGGGAGGGGGTGGGGCAGACACCCCGCGCTGAGATGTGGGCGGGCCCCCAGGCTGGTGGGCGTCCCGCTCAGCGCAGCGACAGTGACGTGATTGGGGGGGAGGGGCATCTCGTAACGAGGGGCCCCCCCGCTCGGTGGCCTCAGCAGTTGGGTGCTCCCGTTGGAACGAGGGGCCGCTGTCTGTGGGTCATTTACTCCTTGGCCGCATGGCGACCCTCCCGCTCAGGCCGTGGGAAGGTGACCTGGGCGCTGTCGCCGCCGTCCCAGGGAGATGCCTGCATCGATCCCAGAGTCTTATCTCGAAGCTCCTTCCTCCAGAGGACCGGGTTCAGGCGGGACAGGCGGGCTGCGGGTCAGCGGGCAGGCTGCCTCGTCTCCCCAGGCCCCGCGCTGGCGGGTTGCCCGGCTGCGCCTCTCTTCCTTGAAACCACCGGCGTGCCACCGTGGCTTGCCCCTGCGTCCAGCCCTCTCCTCTCCGGGCAGGAATCTCCTTCTCCCGGGACGGCCGCTACCTGGCCCTGGCGGAGAGGCGGGACTGCAAGGACTATGTCAGCATCTTCGTCTGCAGCGACTGGCAGCTGCTGCGGGTGAGCGCCTCCGTCCGGACCCTGTCCTCGGCTCTCGTCTCCGAGGGTGCGTGCTGCCTGCGACTCCACAGGGCGCCCGCGGGTGAAGCGCCCGGAGCCGTGGTGGGGCTGGTGCAGCCGGGCGCTGAGTGGGTTGCCGGCCAACGGGAGCCCGTCCCCTTCCGGCCAGTTCCATGGCACGTGCCCCGTCAGGCGGAGTGTGGGCTGAGCCTGACTCGGCCTCCCTGGGCCCGGGGCTCCGCGGGGCTCCTGCTGCAGGCGGGAGACAGGCAGGCTGGCACAGAACCCTCTGGAACGCCCTCAGAGCTCAGGGAGGCCTCCAGCGGGGAGAGCGGTGCACGGGCGGAGCCGCACCAGAAGCGGCTGTGCTGCCCGGCGGCCAGGCCGCGCCCCCGAACCTCCGGACACTCAGGCGCGTGTCAGCGGGAAGGACGGTGGCAGCCTCCGCCGGCGCTGTCCCGGGAGAGCGCGCACTGGACGCGCAAGCAGCATCGGCTGCACAACAGGCACACGTCCGTCCGACCGTCGGTTCCCACGTGACCTGCGCCTCCCCTTCCGTGGCAGCACTTCGACACGGACACGCAGGACCTCGCCGGCATCGAGTGGGCCCCCAACGGCTGCGTGCTGGCGGCGTGGGACACCTGCCTGGAGGTAGGAGGGGCTTCGCGTGTCCGCCGAAGCTTCCTCTGCTGCGGTGCCGACAGCCAGTCCCGCCCGCAGCCTCCCCGCCCTCGCCCCCCGCCTGCCCAGCGCTGGGCGCTCAGCTAACGGGCGCCCTTCTCGCCTGCAGTACAAGGTCCTGCTCTACTCCCTGGACGGCCGGCAGCTGGCCGCGTACTGTGCGTACGAGTGGTCGCTGGGCGTCAAGTCGGTGGCCTGGAGCCCCAGCAGCCAGTTCCTGGCCGTCGGGAGCTACGACGGGAAGGTGGGCAGGGCGCCGCGGTGGGAGCCCGAGGACGGCCCGGGGCGGGTGTCCCCACCCAGTGGTCTCACGTGGCCCTCCCTCAGGTGCGCATCCTCAACCACGTGACCTGGAAGATGCTCACCGAGTTCGGGCACCCCGCGGCCATCAGTGACCCGCGTGTGGTAAGCCGTGCCCGTCTCCATGGGGCAGCGCTGGAGGCAATGAGGCCGCGATGCAGGAGCTCCATCATCGCCAGAGGGCGGGATGGCCACGGGCTCGCTGCCTGGCGCCAGGCGGTGCCTTGCCCTGTGTTCTCCCCGGATGGCTCATCTCTGATCCGCACCTGCCTGCCGGCCTCCTGCCCGCCACACAGAGGGCGAGGGCTGGGGAGCCGGTGGCTCCCAGGGTGGGCGGGGACGCTGCCACTGAGGGACGGGGCAGATCGGGACGTGGTGCAGGATGGGGAGGAGTGTGCCAGGCAGCGGGCGGGCAGTGCCCAGACACTGAAGTGGGAAGGTGCCGGGGGGGAGGGGAGGCAGTGGGGACACAGAGCCTTCATGCCCGGGAGGTGCTCACGCTTGCTAACAGGCTGAGGGGATGTGGAGCTGTCCCCCATCAGACCTTCGTGTTTTTTTTTTTTAATGTAATTTTTTAAAAATATATTTTATTGATTTTAGAGAGGAAGGGAGAGAGACAGAAACATCAGTGATGAGAAAGAACCATTGATCAGCTGCTTCCTGCACATCCCCTTCTGGGTGTCGAGTCCACAACCCAGGCATGGGCCCTTGGCTGGAATAGAACCTGGGACCTTTTAGGCCACAGGCTGATGCTCTGTTCACTGAGCCACACCAGCCAGGTCCAGACCTTCGTGCCCGGGGGGCTTTCAGGGCTCAGAGCAGCGGCAGCACGGCCGTCCCTGTCTTGCAGGTGGTGTACAAGGAAGCAGAGAAGAGCGCGCGGGCGGCGCTGGGCCGGCCCGCCTGCCCGTCCTTCAGGGCCGCCGAGAGCAAGTGTGAGCCTCCTTGTTTGCGGAAGGGGCTCCCTGCCCCGCACTCGTCAGAGGCCCCTCCTGTCCGGCACCTCACGCGCAGCGGGGTCCTTCCCGGGGGCGTGGATTCTGTTGGCAGACGTCAGCCCTGGAGTCCGCTTTGAGGGCAGAGGGCCTTGCTCCATTGAGAGTGGCACTCCCTGGGCAGCCGAGGTCAGGAGTGGCCGCGGGACAGGCTGGCGGGCTGGCGTGCATCCTGGCTGCGGGCCTGGGTCTCCTCGGTGACCTGGCATCAGGCCCGCTTTGAGGGGAGCCCGGAACGCAGCCCCGGGCACACAGCGCGCTGCCCACGCCCCATCAGCATCTCACGCTTCTGGTCCTGTCTTCCTCTTTCCCCTCGACGATCTTTTTAGCAGCTTTTAGGGGAGGCACAGGTGTTCCCCGCCCACACACTCAGCACCCCCATGGGGGCGTTTGTCACAGCGGGTGACCCTGAATTAACATGAGCCTAATGTAGCACCCCGTGTTGTCACTTCCCTAAACATTGTCCCTTACGCCCTTTCTACAGCGGGGTGCAGGCTGAGGCACTGGGACTGGGGGGACCTGGGGGGCCGGGGAGGAGCAGGAAAGGGCAGGCCCGTGCTGGAGCCGGTGCCCCCAGGACCTCACATGCCAGTGCCCTGGCCCTTCTGTCCCTCATGCTTTGCCTGATGCTTTCAAGGTCATGTAACCTCTTCCTGCTTAAACCGAGCAGCGGGGTCCGAGGCTCTGGCCGTGGCGGGCAGGATCGCGGGCGCTGCGGCGTCTCCGTCGTGCGCCGTGCTGAGGTGGTCTCGTGTTCTAGATGAGATCGCCACGGTGCCGGTGTCCCTGCAGACGCTGAAGCCCGCTGCCGACCGAGCAAACCCCAAGATCGGCGTCGGCCTGCTGGCCTTCAGTCCCGACAGCTACTTCCTGGCCACGAGGAATGGTGAGCGCTGCGCCCACGCTGGGCTGTGCCCACTCGCTGCCCACGGGGCCGGGGCACCAGCGGTTTGAAAGGAGCGTCAGCTGACAGGCGCCCGCGGCGTCCTCCCCACATGCTGCTGAAAGGCGGGCTCTCCCCAGAGGCTGGAGCAGGCTGCGCCGCCCTGCCCAGCGCCTCCCTGCACGCGCTCCGTCCTGGTGGGCAGGGACCCAGGCCTCTTCCTCTAAGGGCTCTTAAACCAACACGTGCCTGTGTGGCCGGTCAGCCTGAGGGAGAGATGGGAGGCCCTCGGACCTGGGAGATGACATGCCGCCGCCACCCCCCACCCCCCCGGGCCCATGTGCAGTGTGGAGACCAGGACCCACGCCCAGGCCGGTGGGGCAGAAGCAGGCGGGGGGAGGGGGGGCGCGCGGTTTGACGTGGACCTGTCTCCCCTCAGACAACGTCCCGAACGCCGTGTGGGTGTGGGACATGCAGAAGCTGCGGCTCTTTGTGGTGCTGGAGCAGCTGGGCCCCGTGCGCTCCTTCCAGTGGGACCCGCAGCGGCCCCGGCTGGCCATCTGCTCGGGAGGCAGCAAGGTGTACCTGTGGTCGCCGGCGGGCTGCGTGTCTGTGCAGGTGCCCGGGGAAGGTGAGCGGACGGGGGCCCGAGGCTCTGGGCTCTGGAGGGAGGCCCTGCCAGGTCAAGGCGGTGTGTTTTGAGCTCCAGCTGGGTCCCTGCCCCATCCCTGCCCCACAGGCTGTGGGCTGCTCCCTGGGGACCTGGCCTCCTGCCCTAACCCTCGGCCACGTCCCCACAGGGGACTTCCAGGTCCTCTCTCTGTGCTGGTGCGTCACGGGGGCCTCGCTGGCCCTGCTCAGCAAGGACCACTTCTGCCTGTGCTTCCTGGAGACGGAGGACAAGGCTGACGGCGCCATCGGGCAGCTGGGCGCCCACACGTAGGACAGGTGGCGGCTGTGGGAAGGGGAGCAGACGCGGTGCCACGTGGGGAGCGAGCTCGGGGCAGGTCTCGGGCCCTGTGGTCCGCGGCCAGTTGACATGTTCTTTCCCATAGCGAGGCGTTCTTGTAAATATGTATGGTGTATAGTGTAGTTTTCTAATTTAAATGTTTGCTCATTCATAAAGGCTGGCTGGTTTTCTTGGAGGGCTTGGTCATGGAGAGTTCTAGGTTCCGTGTGGGGAGGAGCACTGAGCCCCCAGCAGCCGGTCCCCGCAGGAGACAGGGTGCTGGCTCCGAGCTTCTGTCGGCACCGTCTGTGAGATACAGGAAGGAGCCTGCGGCCCTGGAGGGTGAGCCACAAGGCGGGCGGTCAAGGTCAGTCCCACTGCTGAGTGGGTCCTGGGGAAGTTTCCGCCCTGGCTGTGGCCCTGAACGCACCGCACCGGCAGCTGGTGCAGGGGAGCAGCCCCGAGAGCCGTCACCCTGCCAGCCAGGGCCGCTCCCACGGGGACAGGGCAGTTTGGGCCTCGGAATGCACTCACGGGAGAGGGACCGGCTCGGTTGCTGCACTCGTCTCAATAACTTCAGAAAAGGAACGCACCCAGTCGGTTCTAAATGCCTTTACTACCTGAACCAGAGGCTCGGGGCCGGCTGTGCGGGCAGCCTGCCCAGCAAGGCGCTGTGTCTGGGTCCGTCCACCCGCCCAGGGCTGGGAGTGAGGAGGGACGGCAGCCCATGCTGTACAGCACATCGGAAGTGTGCAGCCCCAGCGCATGGGGCCTGCGCAGGGCGGCGGGCTCCCTGGGCCCAAGGCTGGGCGTGAGGAGGGGAGACCCCGGCAAAGCCTGTATCTGTGGGAGCTGCTGTGTGAGAACACGGTTCCTCATTGAAGCGCTTTCTTTAAAAGCAAACAAAGCGCTTCCCTTTTCAGACACAAATGCGACGACAAACGCAGAGCACAGCAGCTGTCCCCGTGGGCAGGCTGCTCGGGCGTCTCATCAGGAGCAGCCTGCAGGGACGGCAGCTTCGGGCGAGGGGTGCAGGTTAGCCCCCATCTGACACCTGCTCACCAGCTGTCCGCCCGGGAGAGGCAGGCTGCGGGCTGCTTTGTCTTTCGCTTTAAAACGTGGTCACGTGCCCGAGCACCAGGCTGGACACAGTGTAACTGACTTGTGACGCAGGCACTGGGGGGTGGTGCCCGGGGTGACGCTGCCCAGCTCGGCCAGCAGACGCTTGTGCAACCACAGGACGTTTATTGGCAGGCAGGGGCAGGAGGGCGGGGGATGGGGAGGCCCACGGAAGCTCCCGGAGGTGGCAGTGGCCAGCAGGGACAGCTGCATGCAGTCCAGCCTGTCTAATGTGTTACCACGTGTCCACACCCACCTCAAGGATACAAGTCACATGACTGTGTTGTAACCCCACTCAGACCCGTATAGGGGGCACCTGGCCCGCGGGGCGAGCTGGCCCCGGCCGTGCCGATGAAGCTGCGCAGCCTAGAAGCCGATCTTGCCCCTGGTCATGGAGTAGCCCAGCTTCGCCTCGTTGTTGATGAAGGACATGAGCCCCACGTAGGTCTCGATGAGGAGCGGCTGCTCCAGGACCAGCACGCTGGTGGCCTGTCCCGGCTGGGGACTCTCCTTCTGGGCTTTCTTGACAGCTTGGATCAGCAGGGACTTGAAGCTCTCCAACTGGAAAGAGAACAGCTGACGAGAGTGAGCCGTGAAAGGAAGCCGCCAGCCCAGCCCCTACCATGGCTCCGTGGGCTCTGGAAGCCTCGCTCACAGCTGTGCTCACCGCTGGGCGACCGCCATCCGGAGCCTCGCTCTCCACAGGCCTGAACGGCTTAGCCACAGGAGCCACCGACCCTCATGCCAAGCTGGTGGGCACCCTGCCCAGGCCTTGGCGCTGCCCTCACCACTGGCCCGGCCTCCGGTGATGAGCGCGCAGCCTGCCTGGCACTGCCACAGGTGGGTCAGCTGCCCTGCCCAAAGCCCTCTGGGCCCCTTTCCGAGACCTTATGAAGTGGGCATGACCAGTGGCTGCCAGTCACATGGAACACAAAGCCCTAAGTTAGCCAACGTTACTGAGAATGAGGAGCGTGTTTCCTGTCTTGCTACCCACTCCAAGCTCAGCAGCCACATGCAGCTGCCACAACGGGCAGTGCAGGCCTAGACCCCCGCCACTCTCACACACACTCACACACTCACATACTCGCGCACACACACACACACACACACACACACCCCGCCGGGCGCTGCGGCCACAGGCTCTTACTTGGCACAGAGAAGCCGTCTTCTCGTCCGCACCGGCCATCGGATGCTCCACGAACGTGGCGTAGGGCATGCTGGTGGACCAGGGGTTCCACCTGTGTATGAAGGAGGCGCGGCTCTGCTTGTCCCACTGAATCCGGAGGCCCTGGCCTTCTCGCCTGCGGGGGGAGAACAGTCCGGCCTCACCAGCGGCCACGGCCCCACGGCGGGTGTGATTAACAAGCCATCTGTGGCTGAAGGCGGCCTTGGCCTCGGGAGTGAGCGGCCTCCAGAGGAGCCGCTTCACACCGCTGGCCGGTCACCGGGCTCTGGGTCTGCGCTCACATTCACTCAACAGTCTGCGCTTCCTGAGAAACGGAGGGAGCGGGCCACGGGGCCATACAGAGGGGCTGACTGCGAGGGACACCTCTAAGGTAGGTCCTTCAGCACCTGGTTAGCGCCCGCAGCTCCCTCCTGAGCGCCCGCCCTGCAGACCTCCCTCGGAGCGCTGCCATCGAGGGTCACTCGGTGGCCCAGGCTCCTGCCTGGGGGCTCCGGTTTTAGGAAACCGCCCAGCACGAGGACCAGCCCCTGGCAAACAGCGCTGCCGCCGCCTCTGGGAGCAGGCGGAGCGCGAGCAGCGGTGCTCCTTCAGGAAAACGCTGCCTGGCCCCCAGCCCAGCAGCCGTTTTGGTGCCAGAATTCCTTTAGGGCCGCGGCGGCCCAGCAGGCCCTGGGGCTGGGCCCCGAGGACACTCACTTGTTGAGCGACTTCGGGGGGAACTGGAACCGCCCGCAGGAGATGGTGTCCACGGCGCGGAGGGCGATGCGCACCACCTGCAGGCACTGCAGCGCGATGAAGTCGTACTTGCAGATGAGCAGCGACTGGTCGGTGACGAGCACCAGCCGCTCCTTCTCGTTGTTCCAGTGGTCCACCCTGCGGGGCAGCCGCCGCCGTCACCCCGCGCCCCCGTCACCCCCGCCGGCCCCGCCCCGCGCCTCCCGCCCCGCCCGGCGCCCCGCTCACTCCGTCAGCAGCCACACCCCCTGGATGTCGCCGTCCTCCACCGGCCGGACCACCACGCGGATCTCGTCCACCGCCTGCTCGATGGTGCCGGGCTGCGGCAGGCACAGGGCGGGGTCAGCCTCCGCCCACCGCCCCCGCCCCGCCCCGCCCCGGGCCCCGCCTCACCCGGAACACGAAGTACTCCTTGACGCGGGCGCGGCGCGTGGGGTCGTGGACGCTGAGCGGCCACAGCGTCTGCCGCAGCGGCGGGTCCGGCCGCCCCCCGCCCGCGCCGCCCTCCTCGCCGGCCGCCAGCACCGCCGTGGGGCTCGTGCCCGCCGAGTCCACCGAGTCCCGCAGCTGCAGCATCGCCGCGGCCGCCGCGCACCCGGACCCGGGCCGGATCCGGACGCCGCCGCCCGTCCGGCCTCCACCCAGCCTACCCGTCCTGTCCCGCCCCGCCCCCTGGGTCGCCGCGATTGGCTACGCCTCTCAAGCCCCGCCTCGGGCTCCGCCCCCTCCGGTCCCCGCGATTGGCTCTTCGCCATCCGCCTTCCGCGATTGGCTCGGCCCGCCGCTGCTCACAATCGCTCCCGCCCCTCGCTCGCAGGAAGCGCACACCAACTTCCTGTTTACGAGTGTTGGGGAAGGGGCGGGGTCGGGGCCAGTTGCCAAGGAGACGGGGCGGGGCGCCGGGAAGCCAACGCCCCTCGGCAGTAAACGGACGCCCCCGTGCGGCAGGTCCCAGGACCGGCCCGACCTCCGGCCTGAGGCCCCCTGACGGCCGAGGACACCGCAACCTGGCGGACGGGGTTCACTCCAGGCGGATGGGGGGGGGGGGGAGACACGGGAATGGCCACTGCTCTTCCGCCAGGGGGTGCTCTCCTCTGCGCCGCCCGCCCCCGCCCCCCCCAGGGCTGTGCGCGCGCCCCGGTGCCCCGCGGGCGTCCGCTGCCGCCGCCCGGGCCCCATCGCCCGCGTCCGTCCTGCAGCCCCGTCTCCAGCCCCCGAGGACAGTGTCCGGCAGGGCTGCTCCGCCCGCCGCCCCGTCCTGTGAGCACCTGCCCCCGCCCCGCCCTCCGCGCAGGGCGCACTGGGCCTCCCTCCTCCACACGCACGGCCCCCGGCGTGTGGGCGCCGCTGTTAGACGGGCGAGGGTCCCAGTGACCGCCCAGCGCCTGGCAGGCTCTGCTGGTTAGCGAAGCCCCGAAGTCTGTGTAGCCCCGGGGGCCCACGGGGTGGGTGCACCGTTCAAGGCCGTCCCTCCCGGCCTCTGCTCCTCCAGCCTCCGCTCCTCCAGCCTCCCTCTCCCCTCCAGCCTCCCTCTCCCCTCCAGCCTCCCTCCCGGCCTCTGCTCCTCCAGCCTCTGCTCCTCCAGCCTGTCCCCCCCCCCACCACCACCAGGTCCTGGATGGCACTCGCTTCCCTGCCTGGATGGCAGCATTGGCAGCCGGGCACTGAAGTGGTACTGACTGTTTTGGGTACTTTGCCTCCTAATAAAAAGCCCTTACAGAGTGCTGTGCAAGTGCAGGAATGTAGGTAATGATAGATCCTTCCTTCCTCCAATTGATGGACGGACGTAAACCCCACCTGCAGCCAGACACCCTGAGCACTGAACCACCCATCAGCACCTGCCAAATACCCTAAGCCCCCCATTCCTAAGTCCCTAGGTCCCTAATCATAGGCCTTCCATGAAACCACCCATCAGCGTGTGCTGAGTGCCCTCAGCCCCGTGCCCTCTCCTCCCCTTAAAGGTGCTTGTACCCCGGCCCTCGCTCTCTCCCGCTCTCTCTGGAAGCAGCCGGCAGGGGTACCCTTCTCTCCAATAAAGCCTGTGTCCTGGCATCCCGGTCTCCGGCCCTCTCTGTTTCATCTTTTAGGTAACAGTGTGGGTCCAGCCCTCCGACCGGCCGAGGCCACGTGGGGACAGCGGCGGCCCGGTAACCGGCGCGGCCTCTGGCTGGCCCTGCCCTGCCCAGTCCGCGTGGGGCGGCCGGGATGGGGCTCCGGAGGGTGCCCGCTCGCCCTCTCCTGAGCCTCCCTGCACCACGGGGGCTCGGAGCAGAACCAGGGACCCCCCAGTGACGGCCTGAGCACGTGGGTGCAGAAGCCTGCTGGCCGGGGTGGCATCAGCGGCCCCACGCCTGTCCACGGACTCGGATACACGCTCTCCGAGCCTGCTTTCCTGGTGCTCCGGGTTCATGCCAGTTTCTGCTGACAGGCGCTGGGAGGGTTCAGTGAGTTCAGCCTGTGGCGCGCTCTGCACTCTGCCTGGCCCATGTGCAGAGCCATCTCGGTGTCAGCTGTTCCTGACCCTGACCCTGACCCTAACCTGGACCCTGACCCTGACCCTGACCCTGACCCTAACCTGGACCCTGACCCTGTCCTTAACCCTGACCTTGACCCTGACCTGACCCTAACCTGGACCCTGACCTTGTCCCTAACCCTAACCCTGACCCTCTAAGTGCTGCAAATAGGGTCTCTGCTCCCAACACAGGCAACAGTGTGACCGCCTCTGACCCGAGAAAACAGGCTCACGCCCTGCCACGGGGCCCAGCAGGCGCCCTGATCCGGAGCCCAACTCGCACCTCTCAGCGCTCAGAACGATCCCCACAAAATGGGCCGCACCCCACATCCACAGCAGCGCGGGTCCTTCTTGGTGCTTCTTTCCCGGGGACCTGGAGAGGCTGTTCCCACTCCGGCCGGCAGGTGGCAGCGTCGTCCACGCGAGCGGAGCCGGGACAGTGCGAGGCGACCCTCAGTGCGGGATGGCTCAGCGGGAGGGGTGCGCTCCCAGCTCCCAGCTGTCAGCATTTCACAGGATCGGGGCGGGGGGGCCACCTCTGACATCCATCTCTGGTGGAAGCGGGCCGTAGGCACGTTGGGGTCCAACAGGAGCCCGAGGTGAGACCTCAGGGCTGCTGGGCGCCGGGTGCTGGGGAGCTCGGATGCCCGGGTGCCCGGGGGCAGGCGGTGGCTCCCTTTGGCGGTTCATGTGCAGCTGGAAGGTCACTCAGTGTGCGGGGTCTGTGGCCGAGCTCGCCACCCAGAGGAGCTGCATGGCGGGCAGCCTCTCCCGCCTCCGGGGACCGGGGGGTGGACAGTGACAGGCCTGCATCCAGAGGCTCCCCTCCCCGGTGTCTCAGCCAGGACCACGCTGGCCACGCGGTCCTCTCCGGCTGAAGAGCTGCCACGGAGCTCACGGCAGGCGAGTCCCACGTGGGACAGGCGCATGCGGAAAAGCCACCTCCAGGCAGGTTCTTGGAAGGCGCGGGGGCTGGAGCTCAGGAGGGGCAGCGCCTGGAGCCCGCCGTGGCCGCGCCTGCCGCTGGGATCCCAGCCCGGGGCCTCGGAGCCACACCCAGCAGGGGGTCACGAGGTCGCACGGGAGCACCAGCGAGCAGGGTGCTAACCTGCATCTGGGGTGTCAGGGACAGTGGCACCTGGGTTCCCCCAAACCTATGTGCTGACGCCCCGAATCCCAACGTGACTGAGCTTGGGTTTGGGGCCTCTAAGGAGGTGGCTGAGGTTAAATGAGGTCATTAGGGTGGGGCCCTCACCCTCCAGGGCCGGGGCCAGGGGAGAGGAGGAAGACCCAGGTGCCCTCTGTCTGTGTCCGTCTCTCTGTCTGTCTCTCCGCCAGGTGAGCACAGCAAGAAGGTTGCCCTCTGAGAGCCTGGGTGAGCCCTCACCAGGTCAGACCCACCTGCCAACGGCTGTCGGCGTGGCGTTCCGTTGGCAGCCTGAGCGGCGGAGGCAGCCTCCCCCCCCCCCTGCGCCCCCCCCCCCCCCCCGTCAGTGGGTCTCTTAGATTTAGAGGCAGCGCAGTAGGGGGTGACGGGAAGGTCCCCAGAGCCAGACCCGTGTTCAGTCCCCGGATCTGCAGCTTACAAGCCGGCGATTTGGGGGCGTTGTCCCCTCCTGAGCCCAGGGTGCTGGCCACGCTGCAGGTGACAGCAGCTCCCTGATGTCCCCGCAGCAAGCAGGGCTCAGATATGGGGGGCACCTCCACTGCCTCTGGACAGCTGGGGCCCCCCTCCTAGCCCCGCCCAGCCAGGGGCCCCAGTCTGTAGGAGGGTGGGGCTCCGGAGCCTGCAGGTCACGTGGACACCTGGTGGAGGAGGAGAGCCCTGCCCGGAGGGCAGAGGCTGCCCGTGCCCACCCCGTGCAGGGCCGGGTGGAGGGGGCGTGCGGAGGGGATGGCTCGGGCTCCACGCAACGGCATGTGACTAATGGGGTGCCCAGTTCCTGGCCACCCATTTGGGCCCACCAGCCTGCATGTCCCTCTGGGGACCTTATGAGGGGACTGGCCCGCCCCAGGGCCCGTGGGGCGCCTGCCCTCCCCCCTGGAGCATGTGATTTCCAAACCCAAACGGTTTAAAGCGTCCTGGCTCAGCAGCCGGTGCTCGGGGGTCGAGGACGACCTATGAACCTATGAACCCGGAGGTCACGGTTCGATCCGTGGTCAGGGCTCAGGGCAGGAGAATCCCCAGCAGGGGGCGTGCAGGCAGCAGCCAATCACGATTGTCTCTCGTCCTCGAGGTTTCTATTTCATTCTCCTCACTTCCTCTCTGAAATCAATAAAAAAGTATTTTTATAAAGAGCTCTAGCTTGTTTGGCTCAGTGGATAGAGCGTCAGCCAGGGGACTGACGGGTCCTGGTTGGATTCCGGTCAAGGGCAAGGACCTTGGTTGCAGGTTCCCCGGCCCTGGTCAGGGTGCGCGCTGGACACAACCTGTCCATGCGTCTCCCACGTGGACGTTTCTCTCTCCCTCTCCCTCTCTCTAAACATCAGCGGGAAAATGTCCTCGGGTGAGAATTAACCAGGACCGAGTCCGCCTGCAGCACCTGGGAGCAGGGCGCCCACCACCCAGGACACGGAGGGGATGGGTGCCGGGGAGCCGGGCAGGGAGCATCGGGCAGGACGAGCCAAGGCCGCTTCCCCTGGCACCTAAGAGGGAAGAGGGCTGAGGGCTGCCCCGGGGACGGAGTCTGGGTCCGAGTCCGGGGAGAGCAGCCTCTGCCCGGGAGAGGGGAGCCCCCACCGGGGCTCTGAACGGAGGAGCACAGGGAGCTCCGGGGGCCAGGGCGCACCCGGGGCGGGGCAGGCCGGCCTGGAAGGGTCTGAGGACGGGCTGTGGGCGGGGCCGGGTCTGGGGTCCGGCCAGGGGCGGGCCGGGGCCGGGGGCGTGGCCGGGGCGGGTATTGGGTCTGGCTGGGGCGTGGCCGGGGGCGTGAGGCGGTCGGGGCGTGGCCAGGTGGGGCGGGGCCCGGTCTGGGGGCGTGTTGGGGGCGTGGCCAGGGCGTGGCCGGGTCTGGGGTCCGGCCAGGGGCGGGCCGGGGCCGGGGGCGTGGCCGGGGGCGTGGGGCGGTCGGGGCGGGGGGACGGTGGGGCGGGGCCCGGTCTGGGGGCGTGGTCGGGGCGTGGCCAGGGGCGTGGCCGGGTTGGGGTCCGGCGGGGAGCGGGGGCGGGCGGGAGGCAGGGCTGGGGCGGGCGGGGGCGTGTCCGGGCGCACTGGGGGCGGGGCCGGGTCTGGGGTCCGGCGCGGGGCGGGCCGGGCCGGAGGCGGCGCGCTGGGGGCGGGCGGCTCGGGCGCATCGCGCGGGGAGACCAGGCGCAGGCTCGGCGGCCCGGCGGCGGGAAGCGGCCCGGCACCTGCAGCGCTCGGGCTCGGACCCAGCGGACCGGCGGGCACCTTTGGCCGCGCTCCCTGCCCCGGCCCCGGGGCATGGCGCGCCGGGCGGCGGCTCGGAGGGCGGGCCCGGGCGGCCTGTGAGCGGGGCCGGCGCGATGCCCGCGCCCCCGGAGGCGCGGGCGGCCGGGCGCGCGGTGGCCCAGGCGCTGGCGCTGCTGCTCGCCGTGGTGCCCGGGGGCGCCCTGCCCCGCCTGCGGCCCGGCCTGTGAGTGGCGGCGGCTTTGTCCGGGGCTGGCGGGGGCTCGGTGGGGAGGGGGTGAGCCGGGGTCCGGGGCGGGGGGCGCGGGGGGAGCGGGGGCCTCCCCCGGTCTCCGCCTTCCCGCCCGCGCCCTCCGCGCCGGGGCTGACGCCCAGGCGGACGCCCGAGGTGAGGGGCCTGGGGCCCGGCCAGGCGGTCCGCCCGGAGCGGCTCGGAGGGGCCGAGAGGAAGCGGCCGGTCCACTTCCTTCCCGCGCCGGCCCGGGAGGGGAGGGGTTGGGGAGGGGGCTGCGGGGACGGGGCCGGCGGGGCGCAGGGGGTGCGGGGTCGCGGGGCCCCAGACGGCCGCGGACTCGGTTTCTGTGCCAGGCACGTGCGCCCGGGGCCGGGGCCGGCGGCGGCCAGGCCGGATGGGCAGGAAGCGGGGGTCGGGCCGGACCGGCTGAAAGACGACTCCGGGCCGCGCTGGCGCTGGGGAGCGGGCCGAGCCGGAGGGGGACGGGACGGGGGCCGCTGGCTGCCCCCAGCCCAGCGCTGGCTCCCGGGGGCGGGCCTGCCGGCGGGAAGGCTACCGGGGGCTCCGGACGGAGGGGCGGCCCAGGCTTGGGGCAGGGCTCCGGTCCAGCTCCTCCCCAGGAGCGGGGCACCTGGCCACCAGGACCCCGGCCACGCAGGACCCACGGGCCACCAGGACCCCGGGCCACGCCGGCAGGCGCAGGGCAGGCGAGTCCACGCCGGGACCCCCGCCCTGGGCCGAGTGCTCCAGGAAGGGAGGTCCCCGACGCCTGCAAAGGGCACAGCCTCTGGGTCGGGGGCCTTCGGGCCAGAAATGTAAGCAGCCCAGGCCCCGTGCAGGTGACCTCTGCCGGACAGTCCTGTCTCCGTGACCCCGGGGAGTCGGCGTGTGGTGGGAGCCCAGGGGCCCTCGCCCAGGGCCGGTGTGGAGAGCCAGCTGCCCTCCTGGTCCCTGTCCTGAGCCCCGGATGTGCGTGGCCACCTGCTCCCTGGGGCCTGGGAGTCTGCGGGGCAGGGATGGCCGGAGGCCTGTCTCTTCCTCCTGGGCGGGGCAGATGCTGGTTTGGGGCCCGGGGCCAGCAGACAGTGTGGGTGAGGGGTAACGAGGGGGGAGGGCTTAGGGAAGGGGTCGGGCAGAGCCACTGACCCCCTCCTCCGTCCCAGGCCCCACGTGTGTGCCGAGCAGGAGCTGGCCCTGGTGGGTCGCCGCCAGCCCTGCGTGCGGGCCGTCAGCCGAGCGGTGCCGGTGTGGAGGCCGGGCTGCGGGCGGCAGGCCTGGTGCCTGAGCCACGAGCGCAGGTACGTGGTCCCATGGGAGCGGGGTGGCCAGGCGGGGGTGGTCCTGGCGCCGGGGCCACCTGTGCCCCCGACCCCCTCGTCTGTCTGAGGCCAAGGCCCCCCGCCCCCCAGCTGAGGCCGGAGCACAGCTGTCCTCTGGGCGGTGGGGATGGGAGGAGGGGGGACTGTGGGGAGGGTGTGGCCGCAGGGGAGAGGGACCGTGGGGGAGGGGGACCGTGGGGAGGGTGTGGCCGCGGGGGAGGGGGACCTCGGGGGAGGCAGGGCCGAGAGGAGGGTGTGGCCGCGGGGAGGTGGGACCCGTGGGGGAGGGGGACCGTGGGGGAGGGGGGCCACGTGGGAGGGGGACCACGGGGGAGGGGGACCGTGGGGAGGGTGTGGCCGCGGGGGAGGGGGACCGCAGGGGAGGGGGACCGTGGGGGAGGGGGGCCGTGGGGGAGGGGGATCGTGGGGAGGGTGTGACCGTGGGGGAGGGGGACCGTGGGGGAGGGGGACCGCAGGGGAGGGGGACCGTGGGGGAGGGGGGCCGTGGGGGAGGGGGATCGTGGGGAGGGTGTGGCCGCGGGGAGGGGGCACCGGCCCGGCCTGTGCGTTCCCGCTGCACTGACCCTGGCCTCGCGCTGGGCCGGTGAGAAACCTTCTGTTGCTCAAGATTTTATTTCACAACCAACGTGGGGAGCGGCTTTGCGCACGCCTCTCCCTCCTCTTCCCTCCGTCCCGCTGGGCCCATTGTGGGGGGAGAAGGGGGGACGGGGAAGAGGGGGCTCCGGTTGGGCCGCTCCAGCCGGAGCTGGCGCTGCTGGGCAGCGGGGGAGTGGCACTGAGTGCTTTGATGGGTGTGGTGCCCAGCCCCTCGGAGGTTTGGGGGAGTCTCCTGCTCGGTGTGGGGAGTCTTCCATGAAGCTGATGTGCCAGGGGCTCGTTTAAATGTCCGCCTGCTGCGAGTCCAGAGGAGAGCGAGGGGTCCACGAAGCTGCCAGCGGTTCACGGTGCAGGCGACTGGCCCTCCCTCCCGGAGCCGGATGGGCTGGGGTCAGCTGTGGTGGCTGAGCTGGGGGACATGGCTACCTGGCCCGCAGGTGGAGGCAGGGAGCGGCAGGACACCCTGCAGCATGGAGTGTGTTCCCCCATGAGGGACATGCCCGAGGAGCCCTGGGCCCTCCCCTGTCCCCAGATCTGCCCCCGTGCGTGTGCAGGCGGTGCAGTGTGTGTGCAGGTGGCACAGTGCGTGTGCAGGAGGTGCAGTGTATGTGCAGGCGGTGCAGTGCGTGTGCAGGTGGTGCAGTGTGCGCGCAGTGGTGCAGTGCGTGTGCAGTGTGTGCACAGTGGTGCAGTGCGTGTGCAGGCGGTGCAGTGCGTGTGCAGGAGGTGCAGTGTGTGTCCAGTGGTGCAGTGTGTGTGCAGTGGTGCAGTGTGTGTGCAGGTGGTGCAGTGTGTGTGCAGTGGTGCAGTGTGTGTGCAGTGGTGAAGTGTGTGTGCAGGTGGTGCAGTGTGTGTGCAGTGGTGCAGTGTGTGAGCAGGTGGTGCAGTGCGTGTGCAGGAGGTGCAGTGCGTGTGCAGGCGGTGCAGTGCGTGTGCAGGTGGTGCAGTGCGCGCAGTGGTGCAGTGCGTGTGCAGTGCGTGTGCAGGCGGTGCAGTGTGTGCAGGCGGTGCAGTGCGTGTGCAGGAGGTGCAGTGTGTGTGCAGTGGTGCAGTGTGTGTGCAGTGGTGCAGTGCGTGTGCAGGCGATGCAGTGTGTGTGCAGGCGGTGCAGTGTGTGTGCAGTGGTACAGGGTGTGTGCAGGCGGTGCAGTGTGTGTGTAGGCGGCACAGTGTGTGTGCAGTGGTGCAGTGTGTGTGCAGTGGTGCAGTGTGTGTGCAGGTGGTGCAGTGTGTGTGCAGTGGTGCAGTGTGTGTGCAGGCGGTGGAGTGCGTGTGCAGGTGGTGCAGTGGGCCGCACCCTTCCTCGGGGCCCGGCCTGGGCGCCGCAGCGGGAGCCGGGCTTCCGGGCCCTGGGGAAGGCCCCCCGGTGCTGGGAGCTGCCGGGTGCCGCGTGTCCTCATGCCCGTGTGGCCGGGAGGGTCTTGTTCCGAGCGGGGTTTCCTGGGACGGCTCAGGAAGCCCACTGGTCTCCGCCGCGTGGCAGTCCCACCCAGGGCTCCCAGGGAGCAGCCGTCGGTGGCCGGCTCCACTCAGGGCTGCCCCTGGCACCCGCTCCAGATGGCAGAGTCCCGCCGCTGTGCCCCCCTGCCCCCGCCAGGGTCCTGTAGGGCTTCCTCTAACCAGCGCCCGGTTCTGGGGGCCCAGCCGTCTCCCCCTGGGCTCCTGTGCGCCCGTGTCAGGCCCCCCGGGGCTCCTGAGGCTGAGATCGCTGCCCACGTGGAGGCCCCTCACTGCCTCGTCCTGCTGTCCCTCCGGCGGCCGAGGCTGAAGCCGCCCGGGGAGGCCGTGCTGCTGGCTCACCCTCTGCCCCCTCATCTCCCCCTTTACCCCCTGCATTCTCAGGAGGTCCCTGGGAAGCCCCTGAGCCCCCTGCCCCCCCTCACCCCATCGGCCCAGACCAGCGTCCGGGCCGCCTCCTCCACACACTTCCAGCACCTCAGCGCTTCCCCCACGGGCCTCAGCCCCACGGCCATCATCCCCAGGAGCCTCAGCCCCACGGGCCTCAGCCCCACGGGCCTCCAGCCCCACGGCCTCCAGCCCCATGGGCCTCAGCCGCACAGCCGCCCGGCGGGAGCGCCAGGCTGGGAAAGGGCTGCCCCTCAGTGTGGTGCAGGAAGGAAGGAAGGAAAGAAGGGAGAGAGGAAGGAAGGAGGGAGGGAGGAGAAAGGGGGTGCTCAGGATACAGAGCCTACAGGCAGGCCTCCCACAGGCCCTGGCCCAGACCCTGCCACAGGCCCTATAGGGGTGCCCTGTGCTGCGGCCGGGGGTCCGGTGGCTGCAGGGGGAGGCTGGGCTCCAGCCTGGCGGTCCCCTCCTCCTGTGACAGGGGCCCCCGTGGCCTGGCTCCCTGGTGGGGGCCGGAGCCGTTAGGGTCGCCTGTGAGCTGCAGGGGAGTGAGGGGTCCGCTCTCGGGGGCCTGGGCTGCAGGCTGAGGCCTGTCTGCAGGGGACATCTGGAGGGTGGAGGTGGCCGATGGCCGGGTCAGCGGGGCTTCCCGGAGGCGCGCGGCCCTGCACGTAGCCTGGGAGAGGGTAAATATTTACGACGGAAGCCCAAACTGTCCCGCTGCGGGGTCCCCGCCGGCACAGGGGTTCCTGTCCTCCAGGCAGGACAGGCAGCCCCCCATCCCCCAACCCCCGCCGCCGGCAGGCCCCGCTGGCTTCCTGGAAGCAGCCTGATTGTTTGTGGGGTCCAGGCCCCCGGGGCCACCGGCTCCCAGGCTGCCGAGGGCCGCCCAGCACCCGGAGCGGCCTTTGTTTACCGCAGCCCAGCCCTCTGGCCGCTCCCTGCTCAAGGGCCCTTGACCTCGGTGGCTTCTGGCTGGTCACCTTCCTCCCCGTGGTGACCATGGTGAGCGCCGGGAGGGGCGCTGCCCGAAGGCTCAGGCTGCCGGCCAGTCCCCTCCTCTCGGTACCTCCCTGTCCCGTCCTCTCTGCCCCCCTCCTGTCCCTCCTGCCCCCACCCCGCGTGCCCAGGCCACACAGACCTGGGCTCTCCCCGCCAGGGGACCCGCGGGCACCTGAGTGCTGGGCACCGAGTGGCCACCGCTGCCGCTGCTGAAACAGGTGGTGACCGGCGGGCGCTGAGCCCACGGGCGCACTCGGGCCTGCAGCTGGAAGCCCCTGACCGGGTGGGGGTCCCTCTGCAGGTTGGACGAGCGTCCGGTCAGGCCTCTTCCGGCTCCTGGCATGGCTGTCGGCTGAGGTCCTGGGCTGGCGGCTGCCTCCCATGGCCCTGCTCCCCGGGGTCCCCTGTCTGTACCCATCCCCTCTTCCATAAGGACCCTGGTTGTGGGACCCAGGACCACCTGGGGCCAGTGTGGCTTCGTCTGGACTCGGTGGCCCTGCCAAGGCTTGTCTCCAGATGAGGTCACATCCAAGTTCTGGGGGGCGGGGGCCTAGACTCTGGGGGTACGGCTCAGCCAGCACAAGCGGTAAGAGACGGGTGGGGTGGGCAGGGGCTGGGAGCCTCTGTCTTGCGGTCAGCAGTGAGGGGGGGTGGTTAGGGGGAGGGGGAGTCAGGGTGGTGCCCGGGTGCCCACCCTCTGAAGAAGCAGGAGTGGGCTTTGTGGGTGGGCAGAGACCCTCCCAACGCCCGAGGCCCAGCTGAGGAGCTGGGATGTGGGACCGCGGGGTGCGGGTGCAGCTGAGTGGGGTGCTGTGTGGGCCAGGCCCCCTCCGCCTCCCCCCGGCCTCTGCTCCAGGCTGTGGCCCAGGGGGTGTCCCTCGTTGGGGGTGGGTGCCCATTGGCTGTTCCACCAAGATGCCTGCCCCCGGGCCATGGATGGCAGAGACAGGGCGAGGCCGGGCCGGGCAGGCTGCCGGGCTGGCTGGGTTCCCGGGGCCCAGCCTGGAGCCCCCCCAGCTCCCAACTTTCGTGAGGGCCGCACCCCACGTCTGAGGAGGAGCCAGCCGGGGACCGAGGCCACTCCGGCCCCCAGGCTGCTCCCACCCGTAAGCCCTCTGCTCCCCTTCCCCGGGCCGTGCACCGAGCACACTCAGTCCTCTGTTAGGCGGGAGCTGCTCCTGGCAGCCCGTCCCACTCAGCACACCCTCCTCCAGTGGCGAGGGCCTCTCCCTGTGGGCCCAGCACGGCTGCTGTGGGCTCCGTGGAGAGCCAGTGGCTGAGAGCCTGGGGCCGGACGGGCACTGCCATGCACGGCCCGCCAGAACTGGCCCTCACCCCCCCGCCCGGGGCCATTGTGGAAGCCGGTCTTGCTCCTGAGCTGAGCTCTGGAGTCTGACCCCCAGCCCTCTGAGACCTTCCGAGTGAGGCCCAATGCCCCCCTGGTAGGTGCCTGGCACCAGCTGGAGCTGGGGCTGCCGCAGGGAGGTGCGTAGGCCATCTGGGCCGAGTGCTGTGGCATGCACCCTGGGCCGCCTCGGACCCAGGCCTCCCACCGCTCCCGCGTGAGCTGGCCAATTGAGAGACTGTAGTGCATGTGTGTGTGTGTGTGTGGTGTGCGAGAGAGAGATGTGTGCCTGTGTGTGTGCGCGTGCACGTATGTTTGAGCACGTGTGCAAGAGCATACGTGTGTGAACGTGTACATATGTGCGGGTGGGTGCGGTGCGCGCGCGCACGGTGTGTGTATGTGTGTGTGAGTGTGTGCACACACGCACACATGCTCGGGGTGGGGGAGGGGTGGTGACAGGCAGACGCAGTGGGTGAGATGCGCCAGCGTGGCCCTCCTCCCGTCTCTTCTAGAACCGTCTACTACACGGCCTACAGGCAGGTGTACGCCATGGAGGCCCAGCCCGTGCTCAGATGCTGCCCGGGGTGGAGCCAGCAGCCCGGCGACCAGGGCTGCCTCTCCGGTGAGTGCCCCTCTGTGCCCCCTGCGGACACCAGACCTGCCTCCGAAGGGCCCCGTCTCCTGGCACTGCCCGCCTCCCCCCCTCAGCTGCTTGGGGTGCAGCACCCTGTTCTCTGCACCTGGTGGGCTGCCCCAGCCGCGTCCAAGCCACGCCTCCTGCCAGTGCCTCTTGACCCGGCGATCACACAGGAGGAGCTGGGACCGCCCTGCGCCCATGTGGCCGGCGGGAGGCAGCTGGCGGCTGGGGCTGGCACCGTCTGGAGGGGCTCTCTGAGCCTGGTCTGGGGTCAGTGTCTTTACCGCCGAGCCCACATCCTGCCTCCAGAAGGCCGGGCTGGGCACGGGGCCCTGGACTCGGGGGCACGGGGCCCTGGAGTCGGGGGGCACGGGGCCCTGGAGTCGGGGGGGATGGGACCTGGACTCGGGGGGACGGGCCCTGGACTCGGGGGGGATGGGACCTGGACTCGGGGGGCACGGGGCCCTGGACTCGGGGGCACGGGGCCCTGGACTCGGGGGCACGGGGCCCTGGACTCGGGGGGTCACGGGGCCCTGGACTCGGGGGGGCACGGGGCCCTGGACTCGGGGGGGCACGGGGCCCTGGACTCGGGGGGACGGGGCCCTGGACTCGGGGGCATGGGGCCCTGGACTCGGGGGGGCACGGGGCCCTGGACTCGGGGGGGCACGGGGCCCTGGACTCGGGGGGGCACGGGGCCCTGGACTCGGGGGGCACGGGGCCCTGGACTCGGGGGGGCACGGGGCCCTGGACTCGGGGGCACGGGGCCCTGGACTCGGGGGCATGGGGCCCTGGACTCGGGGGGGCACGGGGCCCTGGACTCGGGGGGGCACGGGGCCCTGGACTCGGGGGGACGGGGCCCTGGCCTCAGCCCCGTCTGCCCAATGGAGTGGGCACCCCCACTCCCGATGGACGCAGCGGTGGGGAGCGTGGTGCCAGGTGCAGGCAGGCAGGAGCCAGAGGCTCCGAGCGGCGCGGCCGGGCTGGAATCGGGGCGTCGGGCCCAGGGGGCGGCTGGGACCCCTTGCTTCGTGGAAGGGTGGGGCTCACGGCCGAGGCGCCCAGGAGCTGCCTGGCCTCACCAGAGTCTCCCGCCCCCCAGAGAGGCAGCTGACGCCTGGGGACCCTGAGCTGACACGCACCCAGGCTGTGAGGGCTGGGCCGGCTCCCCACGTCCAGGGCCTCACGGGGCGACCGGGCGTCAGGGGCCGTGTCGCCGCCGTCCTCCGGCCGCGGCCCCTCCTCCTCGCAGAAGCCGGGGTGAGGGACCTGAGGTGACCTGCACGGGGAGGAGGGGGGAGGAGGGAGGGGAGGAGGGGAGGGAGGGTGTTTTCTCAGGAGAGGAAATGAATGACTCTCCGGAAGGGAGCGAGGGGCGGAGGGCGGAGGGCGAGTGGACGCTGGCCAGTTGCCCTGGGGGTGTCCGCCCCAGCCGCCCCGTCCGGTCTGAGCAGCGCGGGGCCTGCTGTGGGCCGGCCTGCGGCGGGGAACAAAGGGGGCCGTTGAGTGGGCGCCGGCAGACATCAGAGCCGGGCCCCTCCGCTCCGCCGGGGGCTCCTCGGCCTCCACAGTAATGGGGGCTGTGCCCCCCCGGCTGAGTGGGGGCTGGCCTGTCCCCCGGGAGGGACAAGGCGCGGATGCAGCGGGCTCCAGGCGGGGGCGGGGACCAGGCAGGTCCTGGCGTGCCCAGCAGCCGGCTGTCTGGTTTCTCCCGGCTCTCGGAGTGGCCGTCCGGGGTTGGGTGGGAGGAGCAGCGGGAGGCCAGCCTGCAGGGGTGGGGGTGCAGGGTGGGGACACAGGATGGGGTACAGCGGTGTGGGTGTAGGAGTGGGGATGTTGGTTTTGGCAGGTGGGGCTTGAACCCCCTGAAGATGGCAGAACCTGAGGTTCCTCATCCCGGGGTGGGGCCTGGGCTGGCACCCCTCCCAGAGCAGCCTGGCCTCCCAGAGGGGAGAGCTGGGCTGGCAGCAGGGTGGGGGGGGGATGGGGGTCTCAGTCACTGGCCTTGGGGGTCCAGGTTGCCACATCTGCCAGGAGACATGGGACAGGGTCCCCTATGGGACGGGTGCCCACAGGACGGGGTGCCCACGGGACGGTATGCCCACGGGATGGGGTGCCCACGGGAAGGGGTGCCCGTGGGACAGGGTGCCCTCGGGACTGGGTGCCCACGGGACGGGGTGCCCACGGTACAGAGTGCCCACGGGATGGGGTGCCCGCGGGAAGGGGTGCACGTGGGACAGGGTGCCCGCGGGACTGGGTGCCCTCGGGACTGGGTGCCCATGGGACGGATGCCCACGGGATGGGGTGCCCACGGGACGGGGTGCCCACGGGATGGGGTGCCCACGGGACGGGGTGCCCACGGGACAGAGTGCCCATGGGACGGGGTGCCCACGGGACAGAATGCCCACGGGACAGGGTGCCCATGGATAGGGTCCCCACGTGTATCCGGGACTTGGAGCTTGGCCTCCTGGGCTGGTAGTTTTAAAGCCCCCGTGTTTGGGGATTTACTTGTCTGGGTGTTGGGTTCTGTCTGTCTGTCTCCGGGACCCGGGAAAAGCCCGTGTGTCTTCGTGTCAGGCCCGGGGCGGGCTGGCAGGCGCCGGGTCTTGCCCTGGGTGCGTGCGCCCCGGTCCCGTCTGGGGCCGCAGCAGCCCCGCGGCGGGTCCTGCAGGGGCTCGGTCCGAGGCTGCAGGGCTGCTGGCTGGTTCTTCGCGTCCAGTCGGACACAGCTCAGCTCCGAGGGCTCGGCTCCTTCCCTCCCTGCCTCGTCCCCTCGTCAGTGTCTGCTGTGCTGTGAGCGCTGGGGTGCAGGGGGGCCGCGGGCAGTGCCTGTCGGGGTGCCCACGTCACGGGGAGGCAGGCTCCGGCCGACACCGGGGCTGGGACGCGGAGCCAGGGCCAGGGGGCAGCTGTGGGGGTGGAGGTGAGGGCAGGAGCGGGTGTGGAGCAGGTAGGGGGACGTGGGGGCGGGGAGCGGTGACGGCCAGTGCTGGCCGCTGGCGGAGTCTGGAGCTGCCCCTCTGCTGCGAGTGCTTCCCGCCGCGAGCCAGCCCTGCCTCCGGCTCAGCCTCAGACGCCCTCGCTGGCCGAGCGAGCGGGCGCAGGAGCCTGCGCTGCCCGGTGGGCATCTGGGGGCTGCTTGGCCCCTCCTGGCTGCCCTGCCGACGGGCATCAGGGCTCAGGGTTCCCTGGGCTCCCCAGGCTGGTGAAGGGCCCACGTGGGCAGCAGGGGGGGCGGAGCTGGGTCAGCCGCCTCTGCTTCCACCCTCCCAGTTCTTACCCTCTGCCCTCCCCTTGTCTCTCCCTCATCCCTCCAGCCCTTCCAGACCCTTCTCTGTCCCAGGCCAGGCTCTCCGTGTGGTCAGGCCAGTGCAGGCGGGTGGCCCAGGAGCAGCTGACACCTGCTGCCCGTCCCCTGCACCTGCCACGTGGCTTCCCGCTTCCCGGGGCCTGGAGGCGCAGGCGTGTGCGTGCTGGTGCCGGGCCGGCGGTGCCGGTGCCTGTGGTGCTGGTGCGGGCCGGCGGTGCCCAGCCGGGCGGGGGAGAAGGCCTGGAGCCCGAGGAGAGAAACTAGCAGGAAGCTTGTCATGGTGTTGAGGTTCCTCGGAGAGGCCCTGGGCAGCACGGTGACCGGGGGGTGTGTTACGAAGCGATGAACCAAGAGATGAACCACCGGAGCCAATTTGATTAAGCATGCTAGAGTTTATTACAGATTCGAATCCGGGCTCAAACCTTAGCTGACACAGCAGCCGGCAAACACCCAGGTCAGAGCCCCCATGGAGGGGCAGTCCCTCCTCTTATACATTTTCCCCCACCCCTCCCACTGTTGGTATGTCACTCCCAGGTTGGCCCCTCAGGACAAAGACCTGGCCATCCTGAGCTATTTCTCAGGTAGTTTACACAACCTGGCCTGTTCTGCCTCAAGCAGAGTGTCTGTTCTGACTTCAAACAGAAGGGCAGGATGCTGCTGTTTTGATGACGCCAATCTCCTAGCCAGGTCTGGAGGGAGGGTTGCATGTCTTACTACAAAGGAATTCCAGGCACTGAGTTAGACTGCCACGGGTGACTGGAAGGAAAGGTGCTGACCGGGCGGCAGTGGTGTGCGGCCGGCCTCCCGGCCCTGTGGCCTCGCACACATGCCCGGGGGCACCGACCCTCTGCTGTTGGGGTTCCCGTGTCCCTGCTCAGCGGATCTGATCTCCACCTCTGTCCCAGCTGGCTAACAGGTTTTTAAAAACATACTTTTACTGATGTCAGAGAGGAAGGGAGCGGGAGAGAGAGAAACATCCATGAGGAGAGAGAATCGCCGATCAACTGCCTCCTGCACGCCCCGCACTGGGGGACCGAGCTGTAACCCGGCATGAGCCCTGACTGGGAATCGAACCCTGACCTTCTGGTTCATAGGTCAGTGCTCAACCCCTGAGCCACGCTGAGGAGGCTGGACAACACATTTTACCTGGCCCCTCAGGGTGTTTCAGCCAGAGCAGCCCTGGGTCCCGGCTCCCCCTCCTCCAAAAACAAGGGGAGCAGCTGTACCCCCAGGCCCCGCACACAGACCCTGGGGTGGACACAGCCCTGACTCCGTGCGGCTGCCTCAGCCCGGGCGGGAGGCTGCGGAGGGAGGCAGCGGGATGGAGGGGTGCTGGGATGGAGGGGTGCTGGGATGGAGGGGTGCTGGGGATGGGGGGTGTCAGGGAGGAAGGGTGCTGGGATGGAGTGGTGCTGGGATGGAGGGGTGCTGGGGAGGAGGGGTGCTGGGGATGGGGGGGTGCTGAGGATGGAGGGGTGCTGGGATGGGGGGTGCTGGAATGGGAGGTGCTGGGATGGGGGGGTGCTGAGGATGGAGGGGTGCTGTGGATGGGGGTTGCCGGGGAGGAGGGGTGCTGGGATGGAGGGGTGCTGGGGATGGGGGGGTGCTGAGGATGGAGGGGTGCTGGGGATGGGGGGGTGCTGGGATGGAGGGGTGCTGAGGATGGGGGGGGCTGGGGATGGGGGGGTGCCGGGGAGGAGGGGTGCCGGAGCCAGCTCCAGGGGTGCATGCGAGGGGCCTGGGGAAGGAGGGGGCCAGCGTCCAGGAAGCACACCCACAGCGGGGTGAGCAGTCCCGGCAGGACTTCTCAGAGCCTTTGTTGTGGTAATGAGCACGGTTCGGAGACAGAGGGTGGTGTGTTCCAGGAATTCTCTGAAAAGGAAGGAGTGAATGAGACAGTAGGACAGTGTCCCCAGCACAGCTGGGAAGCGCGGCCAGGTGATGCCTGGCAGAGTCCACGGCTGCTGTGCAGGCGCCGGTCAGGGTGAGGGCGCCGGTGAGCAGAGACCAGCACCCCTGTTCTCGGGGCCTCGTCCTGTGGAGGGGCAGCGGGGGAGGGATAAAGGCACGATGGCATGCAGGCGGTGGGAAGCTCCGGAGAAAGACGAGGGATGGGGCGCAGAGCCTGCTCCGTGGGGCTCGGGGAGGCTGCCTCCTGCCCCCGCACGGCGGCCTGTGCCTGGGGAAGAGGTCCCGGCAGGGAGGGGAGGTGAGGCCACCGCCCACCGGGGCCCCTGGACCAGCCACCACCGCGCCTGTGGCCTCCGCATCAGCAGCCTGGTTCTGCCTGCCCCGTGGCCTCCTGGCCGCCCTCTGCCTTCCTGCCTCTGCGCTCACTTTCCCTTTTCCGTTCGGGACCCGGCCCTGCCCGCCCGCCCGCCTGGGAACTGGCGAGCTGGCCGCCACACGTGTGCTCACACTCGCCGCCGCAGCCGGGCCCAGCGCCGCACCTTCCGGGCGCGGCACGGCTCGGTGCTCTCTGCTCTCCTTTCGGTCGGCGTGGGCCTGCTGCCGGGCGTCCCAGTCTGCATCCGGCTCCGCCCCCGGAGCTCTAGACAATGACTCCGCAGCCTGGCCTGCCCTTCAGTTCATTCATTGCCTCCCTCACTCATTCATTCATTTACTCATCCATTCACTCATTCACTCATCCATTCACTCACTCACTCATTCATTCACTCATCATTCCCTCCCTCACTCATTCACTCATTCACTCATTCCCTCCCTCATTCATTCACTCATTCACCCATCATTCCCTCCCTCATTCATTCACTCATTCACTCATCATTCCCTCCCTCATTCATTCACTCATTCACTCATCCATTCACTCATCATTCCCTCCCTCACTCATTCACTCATCCATTCACTCATCATTCCCTCCCTCACTCATTCATTCCCTCCCTCATTCATTCCCTCATTCATTCACTCACCCATTCACTCATCCATTCACTCATCATTCCCTCCCTCACTCTTTCACTCATTCACTCACCCATTCACTCACCCATTCACTCATCATTGCCTCCCTCACTCATTCACTCATTCACTCACCCATTCACACATCATTCCCTCCCTCACTCATTCACTCACCCATTCACTCATCATTCCCTCCCTCACTCATTCACTCATTCACTCACTCATTCACTCACCCATTCACTCATCATTGCCTCCCTCACTCATTCACTCATTCACTCACCCATTCACTCACCCATTCACACATCATTCCCTCCCTCACTCATTCACTCATTCATTCACTCATCATTCCCTCCCTCACTCATTCACTCATTCATTCCCTCATTCATTCACTCCCTCCCTCATTCACTCACTCATTCACTCATCATTCCCTCTCTCACTCATTCACTCATCCATTCACTCATCATTCCCTCCCTCATTCATTCACTCATTCACTCATTCACTCATCATTCCCTCCCTCATTCATTCACTCATTCACCCATCATTCCCTCCCTCATTCATTCACTCATTCACTCATCCATTCACTCATCATTCCCTCCCTCACTCATTCACTCATCCATTCACTCATCATTCCCTCCCTCACTCATTCACTCCCTCCCTCATTCACTCACTCATTCACTCATCCATTCACTCATCATTCCCTCTCTCACTCATTCACTCATCCATTCACTCATCATTCCCTCCCTCATTCATTCACTCATTCACTCATTCACTCATCCATTCACTCATCATTCATTCACTCATTCATTCACTCATTCACTCATCCATTCACTCACTCACTCATCCATTCACTCATTCACTAATTCAACTCATTCATTCATTTCCTCATTCATTCATTTCTTTACTTTCATTCACTCACTCATTCACCCACTTATTTGTTCACTCATTCACCCATCATCCATTCACTCATTCATTAACTCATTCACTTACTCATTTATTCATTCATTCACTATTAATTCATTCATTCATTCACTCATTCACTCATTCATTCACTCATTCATTCACTCACTCATTCGCTTATCCACTCGTTCACTCATTCAGCAGCATTTACTCCACATCTGAGTGTCTCTGAGGAACATGGAGGTGAGGAAGGTGGTGGGATGGGTGGCTGCCCTCACCCTTTCGCGTGAGGGGCCGTGAAACGAGCTGCTGCCCCTAAGTGCTTTGGTCCGTCGGGGGCGCTGTGATGGGAACCACCAGAGGGTCCACTGGACCTTGACCACATGCGGCCGTGGGGGGGCAGTGCGTGAGCCAGGACAGCAGAGCGGGGACCAGTGACTTCGGGTGTGGTCCCGGCTGCGGTGGGGAGGCCTGGGTCCCTTCCACGCCTGAGCCCTCTCCCATGGGTGGCTTCGTGGGGCCCGGACGGGTCCTGCAGGCGGGCTCACGGCCCCTCTCCTCTCTCCGCAGCCGAGTGCGGCGCCGGCCTCTGCCTCCACGGCGGCAGCTGCGTGCCCGGCTCCGCCCTGCGGTGCCGCTGTGCCCCCGGCTTCCAGGGCGCCCGCTGCCAGTACGGTGAGTGCGCCACCGCCGGCCCCGGGCTCAGGCTGCGGGCGGGGCACCGTGCGGCCAGAGCCTGGGTGATTGTCATCCTCCAATGCCCCCCTCCCAGCCCACCGGGGCTGTGCGAGGAGGGGGTGACTCGGACGCCTCTGCACCCTTCACTTAGGGCCCCTGTCGGCCGCGCCCTCTGTGGGTGGGACAGCGGGCAGGACGGGCAGGGACCGTGGGGCCGCGGGCGGTCAGGACGCTCGGCCCAGGGCCTCTGAGCTCCGTGTCCTCGGTGTCGGAGGGCGGGGCCGGGACCTCCCTGGGCCGCGGCCGGAGGAGATGGCAGCGCACGGGCACTGCGGCCTGAACCCCCGGAAACCGAGTTTGGGGAGATGCCAGGGGCGCTCCGGTCGGACGGGCGTAGAGAAGGTGGGGGCCGGCGTTTCCGCCCGGGGCGCCCGCGGGAGGAACTGCCAGGAGCTCCTGTGCGCCCGTGGCCGGTGCTGGGGGCGGCTCGGGGCTGGCGGGAGCTGACGGGCGGGCGCTCGCTCTCAGGCCCCGCGGGAACGGGCGCAGAGCCCGCCCCCACGCCCACACTCGCGGGTTTCCGGCCTTGAACTGGCCTCGGGGGCCGGCTCCTTCCGGGTGGCCGGCGGGTGGCCGGCGGCCGGCATCCTGAGCCGGGGACGCCCAGGGGCCGCCGGGGACCGGAAGTTGTGGGGGCGGGAGCCCCGCTGGAGGAGGGAGCCTGCACGGTGGCCGCTCCTGCGTGTTCACGAGCGGTGCCCGCCCAGCGCCGGCCGGGGCAGGGGTGCGGGAGGGGCCGGCAGCTGGACGGGGCCGGCTGGCCGCTCCCATGGCTCCGGAGCTTCTGTTCGGAGCTGGGCTCCGTGTCCGGTGGGTGGGGGGGGGGAGGGGATGGACTCCCGGTGGTTGCGTCCCCGCTCGCCTGTCTGGGTGCCCACGGTGACCACCCGGAGCAGGCTGGGCCGGCGGGATGGGCCGCGCCCCCTCTCGGGCTGTCCTTAGGGGGCAGGTGGGCGAGCGGTGCTCGGAGGACCTTCCGGCTCTTTCCGGCTGCCGGAGGGGGGTCCGTTGGAAGCACAGCCCTGGGGCCGGACCGGGCTGCGGCTGGGCTGCAGGTCCCTGTGTGTGTGTGCGTGTGCGTGTGTGCATGCGTGTGTGTGCATGTGTGTGTGTGGGGGGGGTGCGCAGGCGCAGAGGGGGTGGCTCCAGAGTGGCCTGTCCTCGGTCACGTCCTCTGAGGAGTGGCAGCGACACCCGAGGGCACGGCCCCACGGTCGCCTCCCGCCGGCCTGGCCCGGAGCCGCTCTGAGCCACGGGCCCGAGCTGTGGTGTGAGGGCGTGGGGGAGTGTGGGCACCGTGTGGGGTCAGCCACCCCTTCCTCCCCTCAGCCCCCTGGCAGCCCTGGCCCCTCCGTCCGGGCCGGTCTCCGCGCGCTGGGCATATTAACTAACCCCGACGATAATTGGTTCCAGTTTTGAAAATAAAAACCACGTTTTTTCCTGGTTCCCCAAATTCTCTCACTTGAACAAAAGCGAGGGGGGGGGGATCTGCTAGTGGATGGTGAGCAGAGGGGGAGGGAGCCCCAAAGAGCCCTGGCCCCCTCCCAGGCTCCCCTCCAAGGGCTGCCTCCCGCTCTGCTCCCCTCCCACTCCCACCTCCCTCCCTCCCCTAACCTCCCTCCCACTTCCCACTTCCCTCCCTCCCCTAACCCTTCCCCCCTCCCCCCTTCCCTCTCCCACTTCCCACCTCCCTCCCTCCCCTAACCCTTCCCCCTTCCCCCCCACTTCCCACCTCCTTCCCTCCCCTAACCCTTCCCCCCTCCCCTCTTCCCCCCTCCCCTCTCCCCCCTTCCACTTCCCACCTCCCAGCCCAGGGCTTTCTGCCCGAGAGTACAAGGGGCCTGTGTGGGCTGCTTGGAGGTGGGGGTGGGGGTGAAGGGTGGAGGTGGGGTGGAGGTGGGGTGCGGATGGAGGTGGGTGCAGGGTGGAGGTGTGGAGGGTGAAGGGTGGGGGTGGGGGTGAAGGGTGGAGGTGGGGTAACGGTGGAGGTGGGTGCAGGGTAGAGGTGAGGTGTGGGGGGGTGGGTGATGGGGAGACACTGGGAGTGGAGCCACGAGCAGGAGGTGCCAGGCGGGCGGAGCCCCTGCTTGGGTTCAGGGCGCCCCGTTTCTGACCGGACCCTGAGGCTGCCCTTGGCCCCTCGCCCGGCAGGCCTGGGCGCTGCTGCTGGTCTGGGCGCCCGCCCCGGGCCCACCCGCCCGGGCCTGGCTGTCCGCTCCCCGGGGGGGCACTCACCAGGCCCCTCGCTCCCTTCTGCTCGCTCCCCGCCCGAGTGGGCAGACAGCCGAGGGCTTTGCACACGCCCCCTCGGCTGCCCTGCACCCCGCCTTTGAGGACAGACCCGGTCTCCGGGTGCAGACCGCCGGGGGTTGAATGGGGGAGAGGGCGGCTTTGACAGGCACCCCTGTCGGGCAGGTGCCCCTCTGATGCCCTGCCCGGCCAGGCGCTGGGGCAGGAGGCCGCTGGGCCTCGGTCTCGGGGGGCGGGCGGGTGGGGAAGTGGGGGACAGCCCAGGGCAGAGCCCAGCTGCTCCCGGCTCAGGGAGCGCGGCTGGCAGAGGGGCCTGGTGTGGCTGGTGAACGTTAATTACCAGGCCCCCCCCCCCCCAAGGCGCTCTGTCCTCGGGACGGCTGTGCCCGGCTGCTCTGCGCGGAGGGGGGCCTGGGCCTTCCCGCCTGGATTTCTGGGACAATCTGGGCGGGAGGCGGCAGAAGGCAGGCCGCCAGGTGTGCAGGGCTGAGGCTCACCCTGCCCCCCCCCACGCCCCCGGCTGGGCGTCTGGTGGTGGGCGTCTCCCATGCCCCCTGCCCTCCGGGGTTTGCTGTCCAGGCAGGATTGAGGCTCAGGGTCAGAGGTCACGGCCTCATCCTCTTCAGGGCTGCCCCTGGCTAGAGGCCCCGCCCTCTGTGTGTGAAAGGATCCTGTGACCTGTGACCCTGCCCCTGGGCCACCTGTCCTGCCTGTCCGCACCATGCCCTTCCCAGCCTGGGTGAAAAGGCCCCGGTGGCTGGGGGCCTCCCCCTCGCCGCCCCCAGGCTGGGTGCTGGGGTCGGTGACGGAACAGTTTGGCGGGCAGCACGGCCCGGGCAGGCTGGGTGCTGGGGTCGGTGATGGCGTAGTTTGGCGGGCAGCGCGGCCGGGCAGGCTGGGTGCTGGGGTCGGTGATGGCGTAGTTTGGCGGGCAGCGCGGCCGGGCAGGCTGGGTGCTGGGGACGCTGTGTGGGGTGAGGGAGCTGGGTGGTGCCTGGAGGCCCGTGCTGCCCAGGGTCCCTGTGCGGGTCCCGGACTCCCTCTGGGCGGGGGGACGGCAGCGGCACGTCCTTGGGCACCGAGGGGCTGTCGGGCTGGGCAGACCGTCCCTGGCAGCCGGGCGGAGTGGAGCCAGGCAGCGGCCGGACTGGCAGCGAGAGCCCTGAGCGGCCGGCGCGCTCTGCTCTCAGCCGGCCTTCCCCACCGGAGGGCAGAGGGCAAAGCTTACCCCGGAGCCCCCGTGCTTATGGCGCTGTGGTGAGCGCCGGCCGGGCCATCCTCACCAGGCGGCCGGCCCACGGCATTCCGTCAGGGGCGGCGGCCCCTCCCCTCCAGAACCTGCCCCCGCCCGGGGACCCTGTGCCTGGCACGCACCCACCCGCCCTTACGCAGCACCAGGGCAGGCTGGGGGCGCCCTGGGGGTGACCCTGCAGGGGCGGCCCTCCCGCCTCCCCCGCTGCTGTGCCCACAGCCTGGGGGAGGTGGGCGCTGGCTGCCCAGAGCCTCACTGGCGGGCAGAGTCCGGGGGACGTGCCGCTGGCCGCTCTCAGGGTGCTGGACCGCCTTCAGGGTCCCGGCCCTGCCGTCTCCATCTCCGCCCGCCTCCCTGTCCGCCCGCCTCCCTGTCCGCCTGCCTCCCTCTCCGCCTGCCTCCCTCTCCGCCCGCCTCCCTCTCCGCCCGCCTCCCTCCCAGGGTGATTAATGAGGGTCCTGAGGGGGAGCCTGGTCCCGGCCTCCAGGCTGCATTCCAGAGCAGCTGCCCTGCCCGGGCCAGGCGGCCAGGCGGGCCTGGGCAGCATCACGGAGCCAGGCCCGCTGATAACAGGGCGGGCGGGGCGGGGGCGGCGAGGGCGGCCAGGCTGTGACTGTGGGGCCAGGAGCAGCGGTGGGAGTGGGGGGACGTCACCCCTCCGTTTGGGGCAGGACACAGGGAGCTTCCGAGGGGGGTTCCACGGGGGGTGGGGGGGCTCTCCAGGCAGCCCGGGTCACAGGTCTCAGGAGAGGGGGCGCTGTGCCCAGGCCCCTCCCCCTGTGCTGCGGGACCCCGGGTTCTGCTGTTGGAATGAGTGAGTGGATGAACAAATGAATGAACAAATGAATGACGTGGCGGCTCACTCACACACCTGCTGGCCCCCAGTTCACCTGCCTCCCTCTGCCTCTCAGTGCAGAGCCAGCTGACGGTGCTCCCGCCCCCACGCCCTGCTTGCCCTTCCAGAACTTTCCCCAGAAGGCTCTGGGAGCCCAGCCACAGGCAGGTTAGGCCTCACAGACCCTCCTGGGCGGGCTCCTGCCCCAGCACCAGCCCCACCTGCCTCCCCTGCCTGCAAGGTCAGGATGGGCCACTGGCTCCCCCTGGTGGCAGGGAGAGGCCAGAGCAGGCGCAGGGGGCTGCTTGGGATTTCGTGTCAGTGGTGACCAGGGACAGAGTGGCCGGCTCCCGCACGTCCTGACCGGCCCCTGACGCCAGTCGCCGAGGCCCGAGGGACACGGTGGGAAGCAGAGGACGAGAACCTGATGGAGTCCCAGGGCAATGGGGAAGGGGGGTGTGGGGGTGCACCGTACTGGTTCACTGACTCACTCCTCACTCCTCACCGTCCATCACTGCCCGCGCTGCGGGCCGGGGAGGGGCAGTGACCAGGGCCTGGCCGGGCCGGGCAGCCGCTCTGTGGGGGGCTCTGCGCCTCGAC